GACAACTCATACCGACACGGTCATCCCGCGTCATCGTGTCGTCCATGGCAACATAAATTAGCCACTTTTTAATGTTACATTAATCGTTTGTTCACTGTTCCTTTAAGTAAATAAAATTATTTTAAAGCGCTTAATGTAATTTATCAAGTTGCAGTCTCTAAAGGTTTTCCAAAAAATATCATTAACAATCTAATTAAAAAGAAACAAAAGTATGTCGTTCGCTTCTTTGTATGCGGTTCAACCTCAGTGTCCGCCGATATGTGAGCAGTTTGACCTACTAAAAAAATAGCTTCCCTTCGACGAAACGGCGATAACGTGACATTCAAAGCAAATAATTATCTTTGGAATATCTATAATAAAAAAGACAAGTTGGACGTTAGTCAAAAATCAAATAGTTAGACACAACCTAGCCAACGACCACACCTTTCAAGTCTTTCATACTTGTGTAAAGGGCTGCGATTATGTGTGCTTTCAAGTCTTAGATACTTGTAGTAAAGGGCTGCGACTATGTGTGCTTTCAAGTCTTACATACTTGTAAAAAGGGCTGCAACTATGTGTGCTTTCAAGTCTTACATACTTGTAATAAAGGGCTGCAACTATGTGTGCTTTCAAGTCTTACATACTTGTAAAAAGGGCTGCAACTATGTGTGCTTTCAAGTCTTACATACTTGTAATAAAGGGCTGCAACTATGTGTGCTTTCAAGTCTTACATACTTGTAATAAAGGGCTGCAACTATGTGTGCTTTCAAGTCTTACATACTTGTAAAAAGGGCTGCAACTATTTGTGCTTTCAAGTCTTACATACTTGTAAAAAGGGATGCAACTATGTGTGCTTTCAAGTCTTACATACTTGTAAAAAGGGCTGCAACTATGTGTGCTTTCAAGTCTTACATACTTGTAATAAAGGGCTGCAACTATGTGTGCTTTCAAGTCTTACATACTTGTAATAAAGGGCTGCAACTATGTGTGCTTTCAAGTCTTACATACTTGTAATAAAGGGCTGCAACTATGTGTGCTTTCAAGTCTTACATACTTGTAAAAAGGGCTGCAACTATGTGTGCTTTCAAGTCTTACATACTTGTAAAAAGGGCTGCAACTATGTGTGCTTTCAAGTCTTACATACTTGTAATAAAGGGCTGCAACTATGTGTGCTTTCAAGTCTTACATACTTGTAATAAAGGGCTGCAACTATGTGTGCTTTCAAGTCTTACATACTTGTAATAAAGGGCTGCGACTATGTGTGCTAGAACAGATATTTACTCACCCTTATTAATCATCTTTAACCCTGCTCTCTAATAAAAGGCAGCCTCGCAATATGGTCGTTAATCACCCTCGCGGTAATCAGCGATTCATTGCATGGTTGGATGGCAGGCGGACGTTTCGAGGTGGTTTGTTGTTTACTATTTTTACAACGGCTGCGTACGTCAGGTGGTGGTTGGTCGCATGTTTTATCGCATGACGCGGTAGCTCGCTACTTTAGTGGGGAGCAGTTGCGTCAGCGAGCTATATAAACAGCACCTGTTTTGGCTCGCCGCTCACTTAGCGGTCAGCCACCGCAGAGTCTACATCACCTGAAGATGCCACGTGTAGAAGCGAAACGCGTGTCGTATTATCGTCGATGGTGCGTCTTTCCTAGAGTAGTGGTGACGGGATTAGTGGACGCAATTTAGGGAGGGCGTGAGGGGCTCTATAAACTTGGTAAGACACATCATTTTATTTTACTGAGCGGATGTGTGCGCATTAATTCTTAAAATCTTTAAAAGAAAAATAATTTTGAGTATAACATTATAGTCACCACGCGGGACTAAAACAACGGGGTAACGCTTCTACAGTGACAACAGTGCCAGAGGCCCCATCAATATATAATCATATCAATAATAAACCTCTTTTCACCAAGACAAAGCGCACCGTGTAACAGAACACAAAAGCACTTTGTAACAGTAACATTCCTGCCGCATCCGTGGTGCTGCCCAGCCAGTCGTGTAGGTTAGTATAAAATAAACAAATATATGGTATAAAAATTATATATTGATTATACTTTACAGGTGATGTAAAATACCTTTACACATTATGTACTGCAAACTTTGATTATATGCATAACAATTTAAGGAACCGGCACAATGGCACTTTTAACTTAGTTTTTGTTGTAATCAAGTTTTCTGGGACAGTAAACAAAAATCATTACTCCACACTGTGTTTTCAAGTAAGTCGTATTACATATTATATTATTTACAATGTAATATGCCGTGAAAGTATACATAGCATTGCATACTTTATAGACTAGCATTGACGACGGAAAAACGGACTTTTAAACATTGTAGTTACATACACAAACCTACATGAAATTAATCCTAAAATATTATAAATGCAAATGTCGAAAACTATCATTACTAACTAGAACAAAAACAATGCGCATAGCGATTATAGGAATACTGCAACATATCTTTGAGAACTCTCATTGAAAAGTTCGAGAATTTACATATAACTTAATAACAAAGCAAAAGGTTAACTAAGCTTATACATCATATTCTTGAGACTAATAATGATTCACCTAATAAGTGACAACCAATTTGCTCTAGTGTATTTAATACTTATAGATAATATCATTAAAGTAACATGAAGTGCTTTTGTTTGAGTTCAACAATGACAGAAAAAGAGAATAATAGAGATAATAATAGATAAATTGAACACAATGGCGTAAACAATTGATAATTTGCGCAAATATTGGGAGACTTTCACTATTACTGCAGGTGGGGATATATCACGAGAATCCTTCTTACAGAAGAGAAAATTCAATGAAGTACCTATACTATAGTCATTAAATCAGATAAACATAACTCCATTGAATACACCAGATTGCACGTATCTTAAGACCTTTTCTGCCGTCTGGTGAGGAATTACCCTCTTGCTTAGCCAATAGCATTTATAGCATATGTACATAGCATTGGTGTGTTCCAGTCTGAAGGATATAGAGAGCCAGTGTAATACTCACAGGCTGCGAAACATTCCATCTTAGACCTTAGAGGCGACAACGTATCTGCAGCCTTTCTTGTTTGACATTGACATAAATAGTTAGATGCACCCTCACCTTGAAAACTGTGGCATTATTTTTGGATGTGTTCGTTTGCGAGACGCTGACGCGCGCACACTAATGCAGTAGTGTCATCTCTTATTATCTTACAGAAATTGTGTATACTTTTTTCTCTGTCGCACAAATGAGCACCGATTGCGAATGAGTGAGCTCACTCATTTGAGAATGGACACATTTCGGAGTGGTCATACTATGGTAAGGGCGCATCTAACTATTTAAATCTTTGATTGGCACCACTTACCATTCGGTGTTTTGGTGTTGTTTATTACTCATCAGAAAAATATTGTAAAGTGTTAGGAATTAGTTAAAGTACAATCCAGTGTAATAAATGAAAAGTCTATTATACTTTATTTACCTATTGGCATGGAATTGTAAAATTAATTGAAATAAAATTAAGTATGTATTCTGTTTACAAAACTATTGAGTATACATATAGTTATTAACGGGCAAGTATCGTTTTTTTTTTTTGGTTATTAATAAACTAAAATATATATTGGAGATGTTAGTGTTAAAAGGAAAAAAAAAATATTTTTCCTAAGGAACAACAATAAAGTTTAGTGAACGGAAAATTAAGCCAAATAAATATATATTTTGTATTATATTTATAGCGATTATTTTGTACAAATGTACACATCGCAAAAATGTGTTTACAACTTACAAAATTGAATTGTTTCATTTTTTATTAATATATCGGAAGTTTGTCGACCAAATTGGCGATATACTAAAAATGGGCCAAATTAAGAGTACCCTTAACCGACGAGCATGTATGCGTAGGTATATGGATGTGGAAGAGGCGAGAAAGGTGTGTCAGGATCGTGCTAAATGGAAGTCTGTAGTCTCTGCCTGCCCCTCTGGGTGACAGGCGTGAGTGTTTATGTATTATGTATTTTATGTATTTTTTATTAATAGTTAATCTGAAACTAGTATCGGAATACAACATAGACATCCGCGATTTTAGCGATTGTAGCGATGGTAGGTTCAAATAATTTTCGTTGAAAACCGAATCTTAAATAACAGTCCTTAAATATTATAAATTATAAATAATCAATTAATTATTGCAACAAAATAGAGACTACCTTAAAACACATATTACCCTTTATTATTAGCATCACCAATATTTTAATGTAATAGGACGCAAGATTTATTAATAAAAAAAAAAACAATTCAACACACCTTTTAACGGCAATATGAAACAATAATTGGTAATATGTATTTTTGATGTATTAAAAACAAGATTTGTTCAATGATCGACAGAATACAGTACTGGGTTTCACATTAAGGGATATGTTGCGTAATAAATAACATACTCATGTCAAATTCATAACTAATATTAATAGTTTTTATGTTTAAGACTACACACCTAAATAACAACATAAATAAAACAGTGTTCATTTGATAGTTACATTTTGAGGAACAAATAGTATTTTCCCAGCTGTATATGTTAAATGTAAGGGGTATACAATTTTTATGTATGTAACATATTATTATTTAATACATTTTCAAAATGTATCACTCTCCGTAATACACATTCATGCATATAAAAATCGATAAATCCGCTTGAAATACGTAGGAAATACAATTAATTCGAACAAAACAATACACAATTTAGTGCAAAATATTACAGAAAATCGTTAAATAATTTTATCAGTTCTTAAAGTGAGAAAGTGTAACAATTGTAGATAGTAAGAAAAAATTTACAGATTAGTACGAAAACAAAAAATGAAAATTGGCTTTAAAACGTCTTGAATGTAATGAAAATTGCTACATCTGGCAACTTTACACGAAACACTTAATATTTAAATAACAAAGCCGGCTAGCGATTTTTGAACATATTGCTACGCATCTACACAATCCCAAAAACGTTATCTGTATTATATACGCGTAAACGTAATCACTTACAGTACCATTGTTATATAGGTGTCGGTGATAGTACAGTGCCATGTCGAGACAGTACTTTGGCGGGTTCGTTCATGAAACAGTCGAAGCTAACGTCTAGGAAAAGTTCCTGTAGGAAACGGCGGGCGCACAACATGTACGTGTCCCGCGCTAGTAAAGCGCACACGTCCGAGTACACGCACGGACTGCGGAACACTTCAGGATAGCGTTGCTTCAGTGAAATCAGAGTGGAACGAGCCTGTAGACAATTGTTTACTTTTTTAATAGTTGCATTAGTTATTTTTAGTAACTACGTACAAATTGATGGTGGCCTATTCAAAAATAAGTCAAACACTTGCCCATAAAAGTTGTAATGAAAACCATCAATTACTACTACAAAACCTGTGTACTATACACTAAATAAAATGTATTAAAATGTATTGCATTAACAGAAAACATGAACAAGAGCTGTTCGAAAACACCACTTTAGTCTATTTTGTTATGATAGGAAATATAAGCTATAAAAATAAAGCTAAACCAGAAGGCTTCGAAATTTTCTATCCTTAACATGGAAGCGTGTTCTCTAGATTCCAGATTCCAGATCTAGATTCTATATCGAAAGGGGTAAAATTAGTCCCTAAATATTACACTAGGTGGTAGTAGGTCTGCTGCCAAATAGGATTGCTTGCACTGTTGCGTTCCCCGAGGAAGTATAGAGAGGCACGAAGAGTATAGAGAGTCAGTACATTTACAGGCTGTGCGGCATTCCATCCTAGTCCTTTGATATGACAACGCATATGTAACCTTCTTTGTTTGAAGTCGGTTGCAGGTGTCCACGCACTGCAGCAGCCACTGGCCACCAGGTGAACCATATGTTCGTTTGTTACTTTAAGAAGTAAAAAACAAGTGTACAGGCGCGGTCACACGCGGTAGAAGTGTGATACCTTCATAACACAATTTCATAACGTCACCTACTCAGCGAACAATTACTGTCATAATCGAATTATAAATAAACATTGCCAGTAGGCAGTAGTAGACTTATAAGCTCAATTAAGTTTGACTCAGTAAAATAAATATTATTTAATACTTTGTTATTACTATTAGTTGTATTGTTGCAATAATTATTAAAAATATAAATTTTATGGAAAAATTTATGATCGTTAATTAATTAATTAGAAATTGATTAAAAAATTAATTAAATATATTTCTAAAATATTTCGCTAATACTCGCTAATCTTTGGGAAACCACGAGATGTACTCTAATATGAACATTTGTGATTAAATGTAATATAGGCAGGGATGCTCGCGTACTGTACTCTTCATTGGTTGGGCGCTGGCAGAATAACAGCCTTGTAGGCAACTGCAACATTTATACTGAGCCCATTCATTACTACACTATGTAATTTTGGTTATTTCTGTGTGTACTGCTCACTGTAACTTTATTGGTGGTAGTGAATAAATGTTATTATTATAATTATTGGAGTATCTGTATAGTTTTCTCATCTGGTTGGGTTCTTATAAATACATAAATATAAATTAAAATGAAAAGATAAATATACATAAATATCAATAAAATAAAATAAATACAAAAAATACATAAATAAATAAAGATCCAACTAGATGGAAGCCCTCGGCAGGGGAGACAAAACGGCCGAGGGTTAGGACGAAAGGGAAAGAAACCGACGGACGATGCGGGCGGTATCGAGGAGCACTGCCTTCTACATTTAAGCCCGGAGCGGTCCGTCACGGAGTCCCAGTCATTATTATTATTATTATAAAACTAAACTTCAAGAGAATGAGACGAATGCAGAGTATCAGGTGTAGAATTAATAGGTTTTATTTATCATATTATTGTTACCTAGTTTAATACGATAATTTTCAAACATAAGCGAGGCATAAAATTTAAGAATGTTTAATTTCTAGACGTACGTGGTAGAACCATGCTGCAGTTATATTAGTAGTATAGTTGTAGCACGAATGGGCCGGTTCGACCGGAGAAGGACTACGCTCTCACAGAAACAAAGTATGATATATTTTTAAACAAATCATCATCATCATAATCATTACAGCCCTTCACAAGTCCACTGCTGAACATAGGCCTCCCCCAAGTAATGCCACAAAGCACGGTCCTGAGCCGCCGGCATTAATCGACTTCCTGCATGTCTTACCAGCTCGTCACTCCATCTAGTACGAGACTGCCACTCGAGAACCTTTCTACCCCATCGGTTATCGGTTCTTCGAGCTATGGCCGGCCCATTGCCACTTCAGCTTACTAATCCATTGGGCTATGTCGGTCACTCTGGTTTTACTGCGGATATGCTCATTTCTGAGTCTATTACGCAGAGAAACTCCGAGCATAGCCCTCTCCATAGCTCGCTGAGCGACTTTGAGCGTCCTCATACGGCCAGCAGTGAAGGACCACGTCTCAGATCCGTAAGTCATTACTGGAAACACGCACTGGTTGTACAATCTAGTTTTCACAGTTTGAGGTATACCTGACGAGAAGATGTGTCGTAATTTCTCGAACGCTGCCCAGCCGAGTTGAATCCGTCGATTGACCTCTCGGTCGAAGTTGGACTTACCTAGTCGGACTATTTGTTCCAGGTAAACGTACTCGTCGACAACTTCGAGCTTAGTGCTCCCAACAACTGCCGGCATAGGTGTGACATGGACATTAAAAATGATCTTTGTTTTGTCCATGTTCATCTTAAGACCTATCCGTTGGGAAACAGCATTGAGGTCATTGAGCATAGTGCTTAAGTCCTCCGGCGATTCTACCATAAGGGCTATATCGTCGGCAAATCGAAGGCGAGTGATGTACTCGCCATTGATGTTAATAGCGTATCCTTTCCAGTCCAGTAGCTTGAAAACGTCTTCCAATGCAGCGGTGAAGAGTTTCGGGGATATAACGTCGCCCTGTCTTACACCTCTCTGCAGTTGGATAGGTTTCGAACTATGGTTCTGTACTCGGATACCCATCGTAGCCCTACTGTACAAACACTTCAGCACTTCAATATACCGACAGTCAACTTGGCACCGCGGAAGGGACTGTAGCACCACCCAAATTTCGACAGAATCAAAGGCTTTCTCATAGTCCACATACACCAGGCCAAGTTGCAGATTCTACACTTCGGTCTTCTATACAATGTGCCGCAGGGTATGTATGTGGTCTATGATACTGAAGCCTTTTCAGAAACTGGCTTGTTCGGGAGGCTGGAAGTTGTCGAGTCTGCGTGCGAGACGATTCGTAATGACTCTAGAAAACAGCACGTAGACGCGGCTCAGAAGGGAAATCGGTCTGTAGTTCTACAAGAGAGCGTTGTCCCCTTTCTTGAAGAACAAGACCACCGCCCTTCTGCTCCACGCCTCCGGAGTGGTGCCACCATGGAGGACGGAATTGAAGAGCTTCTGAAGGACTTTAAGTATCGGTGTCCTGCCCGCTTTCAGAAGCTCCGCTGTAATTCCATCCTCGCCGGGGACCTTGCCGTTTTTAAGGTGCTGGAAAGCCATTCTAATCTCGCTAAGACTGACGTCCGGGATATCATCGGAATAGTGTCGGATAAGACTTGCTCTTGGATTGTTACTCACACTTGCGTGTGGCTCCAACGATGATGTGTACAGCTGCCCATAGAACCTCTCAATCTCACTCAGAATCTCAGGTGTCCCGGAAACGATGCTACCGCACCCAGTCTTTAGCTTTGACAGTTGGCTGTTTCTGGCAGACAGATCTCTGGCAAAGACTTTGGAGCCCTGGTTCCGCTCGATCGCTTCTTCAATACGAGCAGTATTGAAGTTGCGCAAGTCTCGCCGCATGCATTTGGAGATCTGTCTGTTCAGTTGCCTGTATGCTGTCAATTCTGTTGACGATTGCAGCCTCATCTCCCGTCTAACAGTCATGAGATTAAGAGTGTGATCGAAGAACTTTTGTGTTCTTCTGCGGCGGGTCTTGCAGAACTTAGCTCCGACCGCATGTACAGTTTCCACGAGCTTGTCATTCATATCGTCCGCTGAATTGCAATCTTCTAGGCACTGAAAGCGGTTACGTAACTCGAGCTGAAAGGTTTCGGGATTCTGTATTAGAGCACGAGGGGGACGGAGCGTTGATTTCATTAGACGAGACATCTCCAACTTAACGTTTAGGTTCAGTGTGCCTCTAACCATTCGATGATCGCTGCCAGTTTTCACCCTTGCGATCACTGAGACATCACTGAACAGTTGGCATCTGATCGTCATAATGAAGTCCATTCCATCTTAGTCCTTACGGTTGACAACACATCTGCATTTTGATTCGTAATCGAGGATAGATAGATATGGATAGGATAGATGTCTATGGGCCGCAGCAACCACTTACCATCAGGTGGACTGTGTGCTAGTTTGTCACACTATCCTATAAAAAAATGTACAGCGTAAGGGCCGGCGCTCACAGACGGTACGGCATGGCACGACGTGGCAATGCATCTTCGGCACGCCGAAGGGTCCTGTGGCATGCAAAACAAGTCAAGACGCGCTTAGGTATCGGGCGCTCGCACCGCATTAGGCTAGATTTAACCTTGTTTCAATTACTTAGCACTCACATTCCTTTAACAATATATAGTAAGTAACCTATGAGTTTCACGTGGTGCAGCGGGGTGCCGCGGCATCTCATGGAATGCCGTAACTGCAGTAGCATTCCGCGATGTCACGCGAGATGTTTCGGTCTATTTGTGTTGGAATAAAAAATGTCAGGGCTAAGATCATTAAAATAACGTCGAAAATCTATTATCCACGAAAATAAAATCGTTTGACACGCCGTGCCATGTCATGCCGTGTGTGAGCGCAGGCCCTTAAAGAGACAGACTTGGTTCCATACAAGCTTGAGCCCGGCGTAAACAAAGTTCTAATGTGTCTTATTTTGAAGATTTAAACATTTGCTTGGGTTTCGTTTTCATTTTCTGTTTTATGAGTTACAATTTGTTTGAATAAATTGAAAATGCCAGAAAAGAATACAATTTTGTAGTTATTATTTAATAAAGTGAAATTAAATTCAACTGTTTTTGTTTATTTTTTTTTCTGCAAATATTAATAAAATGTCAACTAGAAAATCAGCTGAAGGCTGTTCATTGTTTGCTCTTTTCTTCTCATAACCCAAGTACCACATTAATGTCGTTATGTGGACGCAACAATATACCGTCCTGTGATCCGAGAGAAAAGCCAAAGGTCAAGTTAAATAAATTCACAAAAAAAAAAACACGAAATTTATCCACAAACAAAGCCACAATGTCAAATACGCATGACAAGTTGAAACTCGAAACACTGTATTTTTTTTAAATACTAACAATGCTATTAATATTAATAATTTTCTCTTTAAGCACTGCTGTTAGGGGTCCATTATTTTCGCATGTTTTTTTTCCTAATAAACTTTTGCATAACAGTTTTACTAACCTGTCTTAAATGTATAGGATTTGACATAAAGTGCACGTGATGCAACACTTCAGCCTGCGGCGATGACATAACTTCGTTGACTGGACTGCCAGCTCCACTTCGGTGCTCTGTTGTGTTCCCACCTCCTCCGGGACTTTCCATAGCTAAAATAAAAGTTGTTATTTTAAAAATAATTGAAATCTATAATTATTTAATTTCATAGTGCGAGGGCAATTTTAAGTGTTGATATACCATGTTCTCAGCAATGGAGGAAAACATCGTAAAAAAAAAACTACCTTATTATTTCTTAAATATATCTGATCAAAAAGAACATTTCGAGGACATGTGCGGCCTTATTAACAAGTGGTAAAACTAAACATTTTGTACAAACGACTTCAACATAAATAAAATTAGAACATGATAAATGTTGTAAAAGTCAATTGAATACGCATTATTAAGGATAACTCAAACACTACTGCTCAGATCTTGATTATATTTATATTGAACTACATGAGAAGCACCAGATTTCTAATAAAAAAAGAATCATCAAAATCGGTTCACGTACAAAAATTATGAGGTAACACACAAAAAAAAATACAGTCGGATTGAGTACCTCCTCCTTTTTTGAGGGTGGTTAAAAAGTGATTTATCTGTTTAACGAAAGAAGTCCCGTGATGCGAACTAAAATATAGTCTCCAACTTTGGGCGCCACAGTCTACTTTATTTGAGAAAATGTCGAATTTCGCAAACACTGTGGCTGCCGCGGCTAAAGGACTTCTTTAGTCAGAAGAACTCTCGTATACGTAAAATAAAACACTTTTTGTAATTAGAAAATTTGGTTGTGAAATCGTTTATGGAAGCTTATCCTTTGGTTCAAAAAAAACGTTTCAATACATAGACAGAGAAACCTATAGACAAATTGACGCCTTCTTTCGCATTCGCACACGAAAAAGATAGATATATGCATAAGTCTTGCATAGAAATGAGACAGAGCGGTGTGATTGTTTGTCCCTTTCTCCGTGTCGGTTTTTTGTTTAGCAAACTACACTTTGCTAAACAACTTTGACAGTTCGTAGCGATCTAAGGAATTTACAAGTTGGTTTAAGTGAGAAAAAAAAGTGTTTTGTGAGAGTGATTGGTGAATCTCGTTCACTTCAGTTCTTAGAACAATTAAAAACTTTAAAAATGGTTAGATGTAGTGTCTTAGGATATAAAAGTGATAGTGAAAGTAAACTCACCGGTATATCATTTCACTCGTAAGTATAGTACATTTTATCTGGTATTACGTATAAAGTTCAATTGTTATTTTAAATTTCGTTACAGAACTATATAAATGAATACGTTAAAATTTCATCTAAATATGTTTAAAAGTCATAAAGATTATTGTGTAACCTATAAAAATTGTTTAGGTAGCAACATCACCTCTTTATCGTCCTTTCTCACTCGAGGCCACGCTAATCATTAGTCTATAGGTTTCTCTGTCTACGTTTCAATAATAAGAGGTTTGCGCCCAACAATAGGACGTATGTAGGCTTTCATAAAAAAGAAAAAAGAAAAATATATCTTACCGGCGAAAAATGCTTCTCGTAGCTCATATGAGGAGGGAGGCCGAGTTCGAACGCAAGCTATACAATCGTTGGTCGAATGTCGCCAACGACCTTCGAGTCCAGTATTCACTTTTAAGTCCAGTTCGGCCAACGTCCCCAATTCAGAAGGGACCGCTGACGAATTGATCGTAACTTTTGTTCCTGTATTCTCAGACGGTGTCATTGCAGTTTTGATTCCAGCTATATCTGATGGTATCGCGGTCGCTCTTGCACCAGCATTTTCAGGTGAAATCATAACTACCTTTGTACATGTACTATCCGTCGCTGTGACTTTGGTACTGCTATTTACAATCGCTGTTGTTGGAAGATTGCTGACAATACTTTTTGTGAAAGTCACGACGTTAACATCCGTTGGTCCTTTAATAGAACCGTTGTCGTTTGTAGTTGTGGTTATCTGTCCAGTATCAATCTTCGAACTGCAAACATTAGGTCGAATATTTTTATTTGTTTCTTCTGAGGCAACGACACTGATACTGTTTGCGGTAACAATGTTAGATGCAGTCGTGACATTGGCTCCACTTGACATTCGCGTAATCGAAGTCGATGGTGTTGTGGCAGCGAATTCTAAATAATAACAGTCGAAATTAATAATTTTTATCAAATTCACTACATGAACGAATATATGATGGAAGGGAGATATGATAAGGATATAGAACGACGAGTGAACGCAGGAAATAGAGATAAGATAAATGGGGACACTCTATTGTGAAGAAACAAAATGTGTCGAAAAAGGCACGTATGGCAATTCACAATGCTGTGTTGGTCTCTACTTTAACGTATGGTAGTGAAAGTTGGGTGTGGCAGAAGAAGCACGAGAGTAGAATAAACGCAGTAGAAAGTATGTTAGGGTTGAATCTGAATAACAGGGTGAGAAATTGTGTGATAAGAGAAGAGTGTGGTTTGGAAGATGTATCCACAGTGCTGTACTGTGAATCCAGGATTAAGAAAGGAATGCTTCGATGGTTTGGTCATGTGGAAATAATGAATGAGGAAAGAGTGACAAAGAATATTTACGTTGCAGAAGTGAATGGCAGAGTCGGAAAGGGACGTCCTAGGCGAAAATTTATCGACCAAATTAACGATTTATTGAAAACGGGCCAAATTAAGAGTACTCTTAACCGACGAGCATGTATGCATAGGTATATGGACGTGAAGGAGGCGAGAGAGAGAGGTGTGTCAGGATCGTGCTAAATGGAAGTCTGTAGTCTCTGCCTACCCCTCTGGGTGACAGGCGTGAGTGGGTCGTCACGAACGAAAGGAGGCACTGACCGCGTAGTGGTGGCTTAACAATATATATTACTCCTTATCGTCCCGTGAGTGTCGTAAGAGACAGCAGAAGCAATTAATCCAGGACAGCAGAGTCCTCTTAATAACTAAAAATAGAAAAATCTACGATTGCCAAACCGCCTGCCAAGCGTGGCAACTATGGCAAATATCTCCCAATTGAGGTGATTTATGTTGGAGGTAACGTATACATACCAACATAACGGCGTGACGGGACTCGAAGATATTTAACGTATCGAGAAAGCTGCAGTAAGGCTACTAAATAGAAACACGTATCCATCGCCAAGGAATACAAAAAATTATTATTTCGGCATTTATGGAATCACAAGAATTCTGTGCATTATTTTTTGGCGCTTCTTACGACACGTACATAAGGAAATAAGGTAACAGATGTTCTTCACACAGCAATTATTCTAATATACATATGAAACAAAACCTTTATTTAACACAGCATGATGATCGGGCGTAGTTCTTGATTTGTTTTCTGTGCTGGTATTGCTCGAATCGACGGGAAACAAATTAATTCGGCTCCGGACAAAGTGGGCACTTCTGCTTTCAATAGCTTCACCACCCTCTTTGTCGTCTTCCTCTCTAAATAAAAAAAATAAAAACATGTGTGTAATTCACACGATGTAGAAGTGAAACCTTCAAATGAAATATATCATAAAAATAATTTAGCGGTGCGGTATAAAATATAAGATAAAAGTTTAATTTTATATAGGAAATAAATGTTACAATTCTTATTTTTGAATTTAATTTTAGTGTAATAAATCAAAAGAATATATATTTTCTTTTCGGCGTTATTTCTTAGGAATAAAATTGCTAAGAAATAACGCCATCTACTTAACGCTACAGGTAGTCATTTTATCGAATAAAAACGTGAATTAGACGCTATATGGCATGGATTGGTATCTTAAGATAATTTTATTCAATATGGCTAATTTTATTTATTCAATATTTTTTTAATTTGTTAAATAAAATATTTACTTAAAAAAAAGACAGTACCCATACGGCGAATTCGAACCCACACTCTTTTGAGTTCGCGGTCTACACTGTATTCTATCTCATTTAGGGATGCCAGATGTGTTCAAAGAAAAAACCGGACAAGTTTTTATTTGTTTTTCTTACAAAAAATGTACTCTAATACAAAAAAGAACAAAAAAAAAAGTGAACTTAAATATACTTTTGTTATGTACTTAGTGTACTGGAAACTTACTAAACAACAGCCATTCTACTTTTTTATATATTCAGAACTCGACCCGACTGCTTTTAATAAAGTCTTATTGAGATGGCATCTTTAAATTCAGTGCAACTAACATTTATATTAAAGAAAACACACAATTCACTTTTTACAGTATATACGGCGAGATAATTTCTTTCACCTGTCCATACATTTCCCGTGACGCTGAAGATTCGTTCCACAAAAGCATTAGATATGTGAATACTACACACATACTGTACGATTTTCAATAAATTTGGCGCTATTTCGTTGATCACATATTAGGCGAATTCCCTTCAAGTAAAGAGAAAACACTTTGGAGTGCAACTAGTTCTTCGTAAATGCTTTCAGGAGGAGTTTGCTGCTTCCATTGGGATATTGACCACAACTCAATCAATTGATCAACCGTAGAGAGTCTTCCGGCTTTGATATCTAAACAACCTAAAAGCCTTATAATTGTTATTATCGAAGGGATACCACTTCTCTATATTTATGCTAATGCTCTTTCGTAAACATTTAGAGCATTTGTTGTAAATTCTTTTATTTCATCATCTGAAAGATAGCCTTTTCTTAATGCTATATGCACTTTAATACACGATAAATAATGAAAGATTATTTTACTACCGGACAATCTATTGTCCGGTTTACCAAGAATTTTGTGACCCGACAACCATAAAGAAAACCGGATTGTCCGGTCGAAAATCGGACATCTGGCATCTCTGATCTCATTCCTTGCAGGCCAAATCTTATAGATTATACGTGTGTCTCTTATTAGAGCCGCTTTTTTGTTTCATCGAGTTTCAAATCACGGTTCTAAAGAAAGGAGAAGGGCACGTTTCCATACTTTCTTCAGCCCTGGTGTTAACAAGATAAAATGACCATTCCAAAGCCTATTTATAAACAATTCACAGCTGAAAATCCGGTAAAATTTGTCAATCTAGGAACTGAGTTATCGTAGATAATTAAAAGAGGTTATATATTACCTACACTGTAATAGTCGATTTTTAATTATAGCAACTTAAATATATAATTATAATTATAAATTTTCATACCTATAAGTGTATTAAAATTAAAACAATATCCCATGATATCAATATCTAATCAAGGTCAGTCGTGTAGACAAGATTCTCGGTGCCTAATAAAGAAGAAAGTGTCAATAAAAAAGCAGGATAAGTTTATAGTCATTAAAGAAAAGCTATGATTGTCAAGGAAACGAAGTGGTTAAACAATTAAGGAAAGTCAGACAACAAGTAACTGACAAGTGTAATAAATATTATATAAGTATTCAATCTGAGATCGATTAGCTACTCAAATTGTTCTTGTTACCGTTATTTATTGGCGTGTTGACGTTTTGTATTTTTATAAGGTATTTTGTAGAGGAAAGTAACTAAATGTGGGCTAGTGCTTTAATATGGGCTAGTAAAAATTTTCGAAAACAAATAATTAAAAGGCGCTGCAAACGAATATCTCCTATTGCATTCATTAGCCCCAACACCGCAATCACTCTATCTCGTGAGTTATGCCGGAGGTGATGATAAGGTAAGACGTTGTTGCTTCACCGCTCTCAAAAAATTTCGTAAGATGAGTAAAACATGTTATTTTATCAATTATAATCAGGACTAAATAGTGTAACTATATCTTTTATATGTAGAATATAGACTTGTGAAGTACAAGTACAACATTATTTCATTCAAGAATTTTGAATATGGGCTATGACTATGGTCCTAAATATGGGCTGGCTCATATTTAGGTACTAGTACTTGGGTAGTTAGAAATTAGTCTCTAAAGGTAATTTTTATTTTCTAAATGACACCAACGCAATCAGAAGAACCAAGTAAAAATTGGGATGAAGAACAATGGTTAAAGTAATAAAAGTGGTTATTAATAATGAAAACCACCGAATAAAATCTTTGACTGCAATTCTTAATGAAGACAGTTAAATGTTCACGGAAGCATCATTCTTAAGGTTCTAGATCTGAAACTGAACATAAATCTCAATTTGGAACTTCAACCTTAACTCCAGACGTGACACTCAAACAGAAGTATCTACTTCTAGAACTCACGTGAACCTATAAATAATGGTGAAACATCATCTTCCAGCATTGATCGCAATAGCCTAGGCTTAGTATCTCCTTATGACATAAATCCTGTACCAAAAAAATCAGAAAGATGTCTAATAGGGGTAGAAAAACAGCTGTGGCTTCCGTTATAACTTCGTCACCCCATAAAAGAGACCTTGTTTAAAAAAATAGAAGAATATTGAAAAAGAAAAGAAAACTAAAGATAAGAAAGTCAAAGTAGAGAAAACAAAACCGTACAAATAAGAAAAAAAAAACAAGACAAGAAAACAATTAATGACGATGAAATGATTGACAGTGAAGGTGTAGAGGTTTTCCTGTTTGGTTCAGACTCTGAACCAGATATCATAATCGGCAAAGAAGCTCCTGATTCTGCAAATTCATAATGTATGTTCTGCCAGCAACTTTTTTCAGAAAATTCAGGAGACTCTGGATTAAATTCTTGATGTGTGGGCTCTGGGCACATAATGGCTGTGGTGGCCAGAATTTGATAGTTGGATATTACACTACACATTGATTAAAACTATTTTTACGGATTTTATCGCGTTTAATTTTACTTTTAATTATTTTTATTTTTAATTCCCGACGTTTCGGGTGCTTTCCAGCACCCATGGTCACGGGGGACAGAGGTGACTGACGTCCCGATTTCATTGTAAAATTTTTAAATCAATAATTTTTAAATTTAAAATTGTAAGCTGAAGGTACTCCGGGTTTAACAATGACATTGGGACGTCAGTCACCTCAGTCACCCGTGAGCATGGGTGCTGGAAACCACCGAAAAGTCGGGAATTAAAAATAAAAATAATTAAAAGTAAAATTAAACGCGATAAAATCCGTAAAAGTAGTTTTAATCAAAGTTGTTATAGCCCATATTTGAGTACGTGTTCCATATTTAGTGCCAATTTTGCAATTTTGTTTAATGCTCAATTTTGATAGTATAGTTTAGTAATAAAAACATAAGACTCTTTGCTCTTTAAAAATATATGTCTGAATATTATAACATTAATTTAGAGTTGATTTTTAATTGGTTTTTAATTTTTAACCTCAAAACACTCCTCAACCTAGTAACCAACCAGACCTCAACTAAATATTATGGGCTACCATTTAGCCCATATTTAGTTACTCTCCTCTACATGTGACCGAAATTATTTTTTATCTCCTTAGTTGACACAAAAAACTATCGAAAATAAGTCATTTTCTTAAATTATGTGAATTGTTTTGAAGTTTGAAGCGTCAAGTTTTAAAATGAACAGGCGTTTAGCGGTACGTAGCGTTCAGAAACGAAACTTTCTCTAGATTATCAAATCTTTATTTTAATCGATTTATGGACATAAAAATGTTTGTCTTCTTTTCCTTATAAGAATAATATATTTTATTTCCAATTGAGTTCAAATATCATTTAAGTCGCCAGAGTTACCACATGGAAACTTTATCTTAACCTTTCGTCGAATCTCCTTAGTTTCAAGGCACTCCACTTGTTGCCTCAGTCAGTATCGAAATCCTCGGCGTCGACATATCGAGTAACGCGCAGTTTCGTGGTCACTTGGAAGTGAAGACCAAATTATCCTCTAAAAAGCTTGGCGTGCTCAGCATAGCGGGACAGTATTTCATGCCGGCTCACAGCCTGCAGCTTTACAGTGCGAGCTTCTTCCATTTGATCGCATCCAGCGCAGCTGGTCTAATCGTCGGCGACCGAGCTCTTTCCGATCGATTTGACTCACTGGCACTGCGAGGAGATGTTGCATCTCTTTGCATTTTCTTTCGCATATACCATGGAGAGTGCTCTGAGGAATTGTTCGGACTAATTTCAGTCGCACAATTTCACCCTCGCACATCGCGACGAAACTCGCGATACCATCCATCCATCTGGACAACTGGCAGTCTACCACTTACTTATTTATTGCTAATAAAAAGAGAAATATATTTTTTTAAAGCAATTTAATCATTATCAGATGCAAAGACAACTGACAGAGTTGAAATCAGTATCTTCGCCGTCACTGACTTCAATTACGAATTTATCGATCGCATTTTCCATTAGCCCATCTTTATGCCAGTAATGCTCTTCCAAAATTATAACGTAATCATCGAAGCCACACCCATCTTTTTTGTCATCTAATTAATGGCCTTGGTAAATGGCTTTCAATCCTATGAGGGATAAATCTGAGTTAACAATGTACTCCTTCACAACTCTCTTGACTTTTGCCTATGCTAACTCAAATGGGTTTAAGTCGCATATGTACGGTGGCAATCTTAAGACCTCCTGTCCGTGACTACGGATGAACTGGTCCATTTTAAAAGTTATCTCTTGGGGCGCATGCAGTTTTATCAACTCAAAAAGCGCGCCTTTTCTCATGCTTAAGAGGAATATTACAAAAAAACGCAAAATTACAAGGTTTCCTCGTTGGAATTATATGTTTTCCGTTCGTTGCTTGAAATAACAATTACTTGGTAAGAATAGTTCGTTTCCTCTACTACAATAAGGTCAAGACAGGTTTTAGATAACTTATTTATTTATTTAGTAATAATCATTCTCCCGATGCATGTTTAGGCCAAAACTCTGAGAGACATGATTTGGGAGCTCTAATTTGTAGATTCTATTGAATATCGACCATCAAAAAAATATTTTTATCTCACAAATATCCTACACTTTAATAATGATAGAATACATTTTTGTTATATGCCTTTCATGGAAAAATCCTCCTTCAGGGAAAAATAAATACAAGTATCAATGTGTCACTAAACTTAAAAAAAGAAATATCCTATCTCTGGAGAAATAATAATGGAGAATAAAAATGTCTGCATGTTTGCCACATAGACCGGCCCACATTATGCACTAAAAGCACTAAAAATCTACATAGACGACCAACTTTGTATTTTGAATATGTTACCCAAGTTACATGCGTTTTATGAAAAGTGTGTACTGCCTGAAGTTATCGACTCGAGATAAGCTCGGTCATTACCGTTGCGGTAAATATTTTTATAATAAAAAATATGGTAACTGACTGTAAGTACCGATTAAAAAAATTTGTTACATTTGGTTGTTTTATTTATTAAAACAGGTTGCAACCGTAATATTAATTTATTTATACCGCTATGCTACTGTTAGTAGGTATTAATCGATTATTAACGAACATCGGTTAACAATTAAATATTTGTGTACTTATTTCAACACTAAGGTTCATAAATAATGAAAAACATATGAAAATAGATTAAAATAAATAAATTAGATAACATTAAAATGACACACCAAAAATTTTCCATCCACTGAACTCCATCCTAAGAAAACTTGTATTATGGAAGATCAAGATCGTTTAGTCGCTATACTCACAGTATCATAGTACGAGCGAGTGAATGATATAAAAGAAATAATCGCTCGCGTAGTTCGCCGCCCGCTCGGTGCATAAAATAACTAAATTTGCGTAACGCAAAAATGTAAGAGGGCTGCCTTTACATCGTTTCTAGTAAGTAGTAATAACATAACTGTTTTGACTTTATTTTCCTGAACACTGTGATATGGTGCGTTATCCATAACGACAACGCAAATGGATGAACAGATTCCTCATTCACTACTAAACTTCAAAATCCATGTCCTGTGTCAGTCAGTATCGCGTCTGTATAATCATTCTCCAACACTTGTTAAATGTGAGGTTATTGTCAACCCACGTTTCGTCCAAAAAGAAAATATTGCGATAATTTTCTTTATATTGACAAATTTTTTGCAAATAATTTGACCGCGCAAATAAAACAGCTGGTCTTTCTACCAAAATCCTTCGCTTGTTGTGACATTTTAGCCATTTATAGCCCATTTCCTATAGTAGCTTTCGTAAAATTATAGACCCCCAGGAAAAAATCAATATTTTTTCCCGGATTTTTTTGTCAAATAAAATACTTCTACGAGGGCGACACCGAAAGTTTTTAGAACTGGCTACTTGTAAACGATATAATAAAACAATTAGTTCAAATTTTGAAAATGGAACTCCTTGCCAATATTATTGTGTATGTATTTTATCAATTTGTCATTTGTTTACGATTTGGCGACAAACTGAAAATTGTTTCAATGTGTTTGTCAACATGAATTTAACGTAATAAAATTTTCGTACAATGACTTTTTATGACTTTTCATATCATTTAAGCCAACAAGAAAGTTATGATAGACTTCGATTGGCCTTTCAAGATGAAGCCCCATCTCGGGCCACTGTTTACAACCGGTTTAATGAGTTTAAACGTGGTCGCACTAATCTCATCGATGAAACTACGGCGACGACTGAAGATAACATCAGTGTTGTGCGGCGTATGATAGAGACTGACAAAAGAGTGACTTATCAGCAGATTCGGACAAGCTTAGGCATCCGGTATGAGTCAAGTACACAAAATCCTCCATGAACATATAACGGTCAGGAAGTTTTGTGCTCGGTAGATACCTCATAATTTGACAGAGGCCCAAAAACTTCGTCGTGTTGATTCGTGTCGTGAAATGGTTCAAAGATTTAACAGAGGTGACTCAAATTCTGTGTTCGACATACTTACGGGTGACGAAAGCTGGATTTATTGTTATTAGTCTGCTGTCTGTGTGTTACCTTCCAAGGAGTTGGCAACTAAAGCGAAGAGAGTTTGAAGCGTGGGAAAAAAGATGGTGGCCTCATTCTTCGGAAGGACAGGTCATTACACAACAACTGTTTTAGAGGATCGAAAAACAGTTACTGCAGAGTGGTACACTAACAATTGTTTGCCACTTGTCTTGAACAAAGTTCGGAAGAAATGACCAGGCAGCAGGATCCTCCATCACCATGACGAAAACGCCTCGTCGCACACCGTCAAGCCAACAGTCGACTATTTGGCTACGTCAGACGTGGAACTACTGGGTCACCCGCCCTATAGCCCCGACATCACACCTTGCGATTTTTATTTATTTCCTAAAATAAAAGAAAAACTTCGAGGAAAACGTTTTATGGACACCGAAAAAGCAGTAGCTGCGTTTCAAAATGCCGTCGAAGACACTAAAAGAAAGGACTAGTGGGCAAAGTGGGCAAAAAAAAGCAAAGCAAAGTAGTTTGAAATGTAAATGGACACTTGCTAGTTTGATCAGTCTTTGATTTTCGAAGAACTTTCAGTTTCACCCTCGTATATATCTGTTTATTACACTTCTATCGAAATCATCTACATTTAAATTACCCATTTTATTACACGATTTCTCTTTTTTAGAATGCAAATGTAGAGGTCCATTTTATGCTTCTGTTTGAATTCTAGACAATATTCTTTTTTATGTAATCTAATCTAAAGCATTGTTAACTGGAAAAGCGAATTTATTCTCTTTTTTCTCCTCAACATTTGTAGGACATATCTCGTCTTTTACATCTTTTCTTATGAATATAAAAGGTTTTTTATTCTACCTGAACTTACTGGAAGCGAATTTTCGGTATGAATAAGAGCTCGTCTCAACCGTCAAAGACAACACTAGACTACAGACAAATGCGGCGAGGCGGGTGAAGGCGGGGCGAGCTGCCCCCGCGCGTCTTCTCTGACACCGATGAATATGAACTCGCTCGCGTACTTTGATAACGCGCAATGCATAAATCTGAAAATCTATTTTAACTACTGTAGGTTGAGTAATTGATTTAAAAGTAACCCCACCGACGACACTTACGTCTTATACATCATTAAATTAAAAATGAAAACAGTGAAGAAAGAAAAAACGTTAAAGGTTATGTTTTATTAAGATAAATTAAAGGATAAAACTTCACAAAAATTTAACTATGACATCGGGACGTTGAACATCTCAGTCCCCCCGTGACCATAGGTGCTGTAAAGTGCTCAAAACGTCAGGTACATAAAAGTTAATATACGCGATATAAATCCGTAAAAACTAGTATTATTTATATGTATATTGTCCGCGTAAATATAAGAAATCATTATGTAAAATATTTATAGTTTTATTTAACTAAAATGATAACTTAAAATATACCTAAAATGAATAACGACATAGAGATCGTGGTGTCGAACACGCAATGCGTAAACACTTACCTCGGAAACAACTCCATGAGGTCCCTGGGCAAACAAATGCCAATGTACGGTGGTGGGTGCAGTAGATGCGATGTGTGTGCGGAGTGGGGCAGGTGTCCGGCGGCGGGCGGTGGGGGCGCGGAGTACGTGACGGACTGTGACGCCCGCCCGGCAGGCGGCGACGACCGCGCACCCTCCCACAGCGGCAACGGCTTCCAGTCGTATTCCAAGAGGCTAGCAAAACAGAGTTACTATGCTAAAGTCTGTTCGGCGAGAGTTGATAAATATTATGAAAACATTCGCAATAGCGCTTGTCGCTAACTATCCCAATCTATGTAACGAGCGTCGCCTTATCGACGCGAGCACAGTTTTGTGTTGTAAAGCGCAAAGACGAGCGAGCGAGCCGATGCGGCGGCCATCTTTCAACAAAAATTATTAGCGGAGCGCAATTTGTAATGAATTTAGGAACTCATTTTAATTCACTCTCGCCATAATATATGAACATTAGCCAACCTTAGGTCTAACACAAGGGTATATTTAGAAACTACACACGACTGATAAGTCAATTATAATAACTCACCTAAAGAGATTTGTTGTATATACTGATGACTATTTTTACCGCCTGAAAAAAGTAGGGTGTAACAGGTGAACGAATTAGAAGCCTATGGCACTGATTTTTTACAAAAAATAAAAACAAAAGATTTAAATGAAACAAATAAATTAATTAAAATCTATCTAAATTCAAATCACATCCACCCTACTTTGCGAACGGCAATAAAACAATAAATTTAGTAGGCATCTTTGAGCTTGTCACTTCGCAGGGTCACAGGCTCAAGGACAAAGCCGCCCGCGCTCTCAACTCTTAAGTTACTATAAGCTGTGGCGTTACGTCGCGTCACCGTCGTATTGTTCATGTTTCCGCGTGTGTATCGTAAACTTGCACCAATACCTGTCTGGCCGGCGAGATCACCAGATCTAACACCTCTAGACTTTTATTTGTGGGCCGAACTAAATCAATTAGTGTACACACAAAAAGCACAAAGTATTAGTGATTTAAAGCAGCATATAATAGACGCATTGAATGTAATAAAAAGTAATAGAGACACACTTCAAAGTTTAACAAACAATTTACAAAGACGTTCTAGTTCTAGACATTTTGAATAATTATTGCGATATCGCTAAAACGGTAATTTTTATTTATAAATATTAATAATGTAGTATAATTTTGTAAAAATCAGTGTAGTTTGTAAATAAGTTGGCTTCGATCTTTTAAATACGCCAAGATGTTGCAGTATAAGGTAGACATAAAAAATATTATAGAGTTATTAGATTAGAATGGCTCTCCAGCATCTTAAAAAGGGCAAGTCCCCGGACGAAGATGGAATTACAGCGGAGCTTCTGAAATCGGGTAGAAAACCGGTACTTGAAGTCCTTCAGAGGCTCTCTAATTCCGTCCTCCATGGTGGCACTACTCCGGAGGCGTGGAGCAGAAGTGCGGTGGTCTTGTTCTTCAAGAAAGGTGACAACGCCCTCTTGAAGAACTACAGACCGATATCCCTTCTGAGCCGCGTCTACGTGCTGTTTTCGAGAGTCATTATGAATCGTCTCGCACGCAGACTCAACGACTTCCAGCCTCCCGAACAAGCCGGTTTCCGAAAAGGCTTTAGTACCATAGACCACATACATACCCTTCGGCAAATTGTACAGAAGTCCGAAGAGTACAATCTGCCACTTTGCCTGGCGTATGTAGACTATGAGAAAGCCTTTGATTCTGTCGAAATTTGGGCGGTGCTACAGTCTCTTCAGCGGTGCCAAGTTGAGTGTCGGTATATCGAAGTGCTGAAGTGTTTGTACAGTAGGGCTACGATGGCTATCCGAGTACAAAACCAGAGTACGAAACCTAGAAATGAGGATATCCGCAGTAGAACCAGAGTGACTGACATAGCCCAACGGATTAGTAAGCTGAAGTGGCAATGGGCCGGCCATATAGCTCGAAGAATAGGGAAAAAAGGTTCTCGAGTGGCAGCCTCGTACCGGTAGGCGAAGTGTAGGGCCGGTAGGCGAAGTGTATGGCGACCCCCCACTAGATGGAGTGACGACCTGGTAAGACATGCAGGAAGTCGATGTATGCAGGTGGCTTAGGACCGTGCTTTGTGGCATTACTTGGGGGAGACCTATGTTCAGCAGTGGACTTGTGAAGGGCTGTAACGATGATGATGATGATGATGATGATGATGATCGTTTTTGCATCCTAAATACAAGCTCCCTATCAGAAGACTGTCCCCAGAAAATAATGCCATATCGCAAAACGGAAGCAACTAGTTCATGGTATGCTGTCAAAAGAGCCTGGCCGTTAAACTTTTTTGAAAGTTGAGAAAGCGCATATGCAGATTTGCTGAGGCGTTTGCATAGATCCTCAACATGAGGCTTCCAAGTGAGTTGGTTATTAATAATTATACCCAAGAATTTAGCCATAACTGCTTCCTCAATATTAAAGCAGTGGTAGGAAATGTTAATATTTGGGTTTTGACGGCGTTGGTGGAAGTGCATAATTTTTTGTTTTATGTTAATTTATTACTAAATTATTATTATTAAGCCACTCTATAATTTCGCGTAAATATGTATTGATATCACTTTCATAATTAACTTGGTTTGTACCTAATGATTTCTTAAATTTACGCGAACACTACACATTGAATAAAACTAAATTTACGAATTTTATCGCGTTTATTTCACTACTTTTACTTATTTTTAATTCCCGACGTTTCGGGTGCTTTACAGCAACCATGGTCACGGGGGGGACTGAGATGTTTGACGTCCCAATGTCATAGTTAGTCCGGCTACCTTCAGTTTTTGAATATTAATTTTCGGTCCGATTTACGCAAAACGAGCTTATAGTAATCATGAAGTCTTGCAGTGGTATGCTTAGGTTTGGGTTTAATTTTGTTAATTATAGGATCCCAAGCAGGTGGCAGCACCCATCCATCTTCTCTATTGAAATTTGGATGTTTTTTAATTTCAATAGCCTCGCGTATCATCCTTGGTAGGAATCGGTGTTCTTTTGCGAGAATTTGTGGTTTATCAAAACGAATGTAATGGTGGGGACGATCTTGAACATGTTCGCAGACTGCAGACTTCCCGGAGCAGTCTGCGAACATATTCAAGATCGTCCCCACCATTACATTCGTTTTGATAAACCACAAATTCTCGCAAAAGAACACCGATTCCTACCAAGGATGATACGCGAGGCTATTGATTTTTGTGCTTCACGGAGCATCGGTGCTTAACATTATTATGTTAAGCACCGACGCTCAGCTATATGTTAAGCACAATATATTATATATTATGCTTAACATATAGCTGACGTGAAGCACCGGAACCAAAGAAGCGCTCCGGGAAGTCTGCAGTCTGCGAACATGTTCAAGATCGTCCCCACCATTACATTCGTTTTGATAAACCACAAATTCTCGCAAAAGAACACCGATTCCTACCAAGGATGATACGCGAGGCTATTGAAATTAAAAAACATCCAAATTTCAATAGAGAAGATGGATGGGTGCTGCCACCTGCTTGGGATCCTATAATTAACAAAATTAAGCCCAAACCTAAGCATACCACTGCAAGACTTCATGATACTATAAGCTCGTTTTGCATAAATCGGACCGAAAATTAATATTCAAAAACTGAAGGTAGCCGGACTAACTATGACATTGGGACGTCAAACATCTCAGTCCCCCCCCGTGACCATGGTTGCTGTAAAGCACCCGAAACGTCGGGAATTAAAAATAAGTAAAAGTAGTGAAATAAACGCGATAAAATCCGTAAATTTAGTTTTATTCAATTGGTTTGTACCTCTCCTATAAAAAAAATGGCCACCAAGTATATTTGATACTAGTCAAACACAAAGTCTATATATTTATTCAAAATAGACATACGCATACGACCCTACCAAAATAAAACTATTTATCACACAACCACACCGTGGATAAGAGCAGTGTCTAAAGTCTCAGTCTGAGTCTCCAACTTGATAAAGACCTACGCAATATTGCGGACTATTTACGATTTGATAATAAAAAATGAGCTTGACAACTGGGTTAAGAGCGTATATTCAAATTTGCGCAAGTCAAAATCGCTCTGGAATGGCGTAATATTGAAGCACACTACAATGTTCTCTGTGTGCGTAACCGCTCGAGGTGGGGCGAGCGCAAGGTTACTATAATAGTTGTACCCAAAGATTCTTGTATCTAGTACGAATCATCTTGATATTATTGGAACTAAAAGAATAAAATAATTTCCACATAATAGCTTATGACGTCAGAGCTAAGACATAGTGTATATAAGAATTAATATCCGATCTAGCCCTGACATCGGAAGCTAATATGTATAAATTATTTTATTCTTTTAGTAAATTGAAGTCGGCTTTTCTTTTTTACTCTATTGAGTAAGTACACTATGGAATCTCACAACGCCAAGTTAGTTAAGAACTAGAAAGGGATAAGTAATATAGTTCGAATTGAAAAATATGTATTAAATAACATAGATTTTGTTCGATATACATTTATTCTGTTTAAAATGAATAAAATGAATCAAATGATAATTTATCTAAATAACAATTTCATTGGTGTCGACGGGGATCGAACCCGGGTTGCTCGCGTTTACGGCGAACACTTTGCCCTTGAGCTACCATGGCTCATATCTGTTTTGTTTCTATTTTATAATAACGTTACCTCCACACTAAGAATATTTCCTAAGTGGTGGCAGTTAACATAAGGACATAAATTTCACAAGGACAAATATCCAGACCCGGAACAATTATTTGTGGGTTTACAATTTTTTGTTGAATCGAACCCGCGGCCCTTAGAGTTAAACTTATTGCTAAGCCACTCCGCCACGGAGCCGTCAAATATATCTTTTGTAGGGATAAAGAAATTTTTGAAAAATTATTAATTAATTTAAATAATATCATTTAACAAAGTATCATTCCTTGCGTTGTGTTGCGCGAACTATTGTTTATGCAGTAGCTATGCGCCTTCATCGTTTCCAATAGTGTGTCCGTATAAAATCGGGAATTCGGTGTTAAAATCTGGACAATTACAATAGCTACAAAAAACAGATTTTTGTAGCCATTGTGGTCGCTATTAGTTATACAGGTTTTTTGACACAATGTGTTTTATATTTATTATATAGAACTGATAAAATTAACGAATCATTTTTGGTCCAAACATCGTTGAAGACTGAACTTTCTGAATAATATAACTGTGAAAATAGTAATAAATCCTATGAACTCACAACTCATGCACTTCAAATAGCACGTTAAAAAAGAACGGCATAGTTCAAACGGTTTTAATACCTCACACCTTGATAGCCTAGATAAAATTCTTGTTTCGGACATATAATGTTACTTTATTTATTGAAAACAACAGTACCTATAAACGATTGAAGAAATTGACTAGCGGAAGAACTTTTCCACAAGCCTTTTGCATTTTACTAAATGTACTTATCTAAGCAGCAACATGTAAGTTAGATATTGTACTGATTATTATTACGATGCATAGCGCAAACCGGCGATATGCATCAGGCAGCATCTTGCCGTGCCATCACATTACGCGCAAAGCAAACTTTGATGTTGCCTATTTTAGTCCAAGTTTGGTGGGAAAATATGCAAAGCAAAAGTATTTTAATGTAATAGCAGCTTACAGATATATTCAATTTTGCTGTCAAAATGATTGATCGAAATATAGACTAGTTAGTGAAAATTCGGGATATTTGGCGTTCCGATTCATCGTTTATCGGGACAAATCCCGCACAAATCGGGACACTTGTCAACACTAGCTTATGCGATCGGTATGAATTAACACGTACCCCAGCGGTGGCGGGAAAAAGTTATACGTCCTATCGTTGGGAAGACCCGGAGCGTACTGCAGGGGGGGTACACTTCCATACTTTAGGTTGGGGTTCAATAATTTGCAAAGACACTAGTGCCATCTTGTACTATATCCGCATAAACTTTCGAACATTAAATTCTAAAAGGTGCGCTAGATGGCGACTACACCAATTTTGGTTATTCTCGAACTAGCAAGTAGCAACTTTATATGACATAATGGCTACCGGCGTCTGAGCAAGTTGTTGTTTTATTATAGTTTATAAGTGATTTTCGGTTGTTGTTACAATAAGTTTGGTTGAGTTGGGATTAGCCCTCTGTTTCTTGTTGTCTGTTTAGATTTTCATGCTGGAACCAAAGTGTATGTTTGTGTAGTGTTGTGAGAAACAGGCGCTTTCATTTATCATTCCGGTAACCCGGTGAACATATTTAATTTGGTTTGGTGTTGTATTTTGCGGAATAGACGCTTTTACATCGTGTATGTTAAATATATATAACAAAAATAAATGTTAATATTACTGACATCTATAATACGTCTTTAATTGAAACCTAATCCCTTAAAATATAATTATAATCGCCTATAGTATAGATAGATGTATATCCCTTTCGCTCTGACAGCGCGCGACATGTTATACTCCCGTTCGCTCGGGACCGTAATGGCGGGAAAATTTGCAAATTAGCAAATTTTTTGCTATATTGCAAATTTTGCTATATTTTCACTTTGAGACAATATTTATGGATAAAACTTACAGGATTTCTTGTTGAATGTATAAACTATCGAATAAAATTATTTTTGGTTGCTAGAAATTGTAATAAAATACATAAATTACCCTATATAGCATAGTAGTACCATATACTTCAATTTTAGTGACAAAATTACTACTAATTTGAATTCTAAACTTTGTTTTTTGGAGAAATTTATATGAAAATGTTTGGAAATATGTATATTTTTATGTTTTATATGTTTCCATTCGTTACTCATACCAAAATATTGAAATATAAAAAAACTATAATAATATTTTATCTGTGTGACATTTAGAACAATATTTCAAAAATAATTATGTGTGAATTTGAAATAAATACAACGTCAAGTTATTTGAAATATATAAGAAAACTATTTTTACTTACATTTTACACTAAAAATAAATGAGAATATGAAAAATAACGCATTTATGACCCAGCCGCCATAACGGGCCTTCCAGATTTTGAAGCACTTTTGGCAATTTACTTTTCACTTTTTATACCACAAATTATATATCTTCGTGTTCACTATATTACAAGGAATATAAAAAAAGTATAATACTTTCGTTTTTAGTCCAGACACAATTATAAAATTCTATAAAAAAGATGGAGCACATTCATCAAAACGACACGTGGAACGCCGAAAGTTTAGAGTGATTTCTTTTTTTTTTTTCTAAGAAACATTGCCAGGTTATGGTTTAAAATAAAAGAGCATATCTTTGTATTTGATACTATTATCTATTGCATATTGTCTTTGGTTTTGTTTTAAAGGAAAAAGTAGTTTTTTCATAAGGCAGTACTTCTGATATTATCTGATCTAATTAGCCCCGTACTAGAGCGGGCGTAAGGTAGGTATTGTATGATCTGATTAGATTGTTAGCCGAGCGAAAGGGATATACATAACTACATACAGCTATCTATAGTCAACATGATATTGAGATTAGTTCAAGGGATATGATACCAGACGGCGACACTATTCATATTGGGTGACAAAAAATCCTAGGAGATGGCTCTCTATTTCTGTATATATTACTCTACTCTATGGCGTACTGAATCGGACGGCGTTTGCGCGTGATGATTTATAGTCGGTGTTTCCACCTTAATGATTTCCTTTCCCCACGCCTCAATTGTGATTTCCCCTAGTAGTACTAGTAGTAAAAATCTGCTCATTCAACCTTATAATATCATTGTGTGGTACACAATCACTTATAATTGGGTGATACATACTAAAATAATAACCAAGCATAGGTACCACAGAGTAAAATTGCGCTGAAACATCGAAAAAACTTGTCGACTTTGCTCATCACTAGTTTGATGTAACTGCACATCACTGGCTGTCAATTTCTTTAGGATTAAAAAAAGACGAATCATTATGCACATGTTCAAATACAAATCGTTTCTTAATCTGTACGATCGATTCAATATAAAACATTTTTGCCGTCTGAAAAACTTTTTGAACTTCACAGTTTTATTTATTTTCCACCTATGTTAATAAATGAGTTGCATCCACACCCAAATAAATACGTTGCAATTCAAGATGTTCTTCTGTCTGATAAGGATTGATTTGGTTAGCAGGAGTTTGTTTGACATAATTTCAGGATTGATTTGGTTAGCAGGGGTTTGTTTGACGTAATTTCTATTCATGAAATTTAACGCCAATGTTCACACATTACTGTGGATTTAACAGAACTAGACAAGGAATGGAGAAATCAAAGTCTCCTTGCAGATATGGATTCTAACGATTCCACGGATACTGTACGGTGTTGGAAAAAAATGTTTGAAAAAAAAATGTTTAGGGGAGAAAGAAATTCATTCAACTGCCAATTTTGGTAAACTATTTTATGTCACTGCCTTTTTCCAATGCTGCCGTAGAACGGTTATTTAGTGATATAAAAACTATTAAAACAGATAAACGCAATAGGCTCGATAATGAAACAGTTGGTTCAATCCTGTGCGTAAAATCTGGCCTGAAAAGAACGGGAACAACCTCTGCACAACTTTAGAAAAATCAGTTTGAAATACCACACCTTAAGTTCGTACAGTCCAATGCAACTGCAACCGAATCCAAAAAAAATTGACAAAGCATGAATAAAGTATAATTCAACATTTCGTATCCTTATTTATAGCCTGACCAGAAATATATAAAACCTGCACGTCGTCGGCTAAAGTCGCAGACCTCGTAGCTCCATTTTTCAAAATGACATTTTTATACTATTGTGTTACTAATTTCTGACCGCATCTAATAGCAAAACTCCCAAAGCCCCCTTAAGTATTATGTACATTATGTATATAAAATTAAATTAAGCCTTCTACAAAAAAAATTCGTGGTGAAGTTTTTCGTGCCTCCTATAAAATTTCTTTTGATGGAGTTACGAGGTCTGCGACTCCGACGACGTACCGCCACTGTTTCTTTTATACGGTAACACTATAGTCCACGGTATAGTCCACACAAAAATAACTACGAAATTTTCCGCAATATTTTAAGCTAGACTTTAACCATGATTTCCCTTGATTTCCCCTTTTCATGTCTTTCCCCTTTTTCTTCCCCTCTGAACCCTAATTTCCCCTCAAAAGGGGAATTACCCCTCATTGTGGAAACACTGTTTATAGTATTTTTAAAATAATCATGTAAAATAATTGACTATATAAAACGAGCAAATTTTTTTTTTTTTTTGGATATTTAACATTACCTGTATTTTGATGAAATAATTGAAATAGATAAGTTTATATTCCAATACACGGAAAAAATGACATTGAAGTGGACGGCTTTCGTGATTTTATAGTATTGTTTTTTAATATCAAATCGAAATATTACACTAAAAGTACTATCATATTCTATTAAAATAACGTTTAAAAGAAAGTATTTTAGCTTATAATCATGGTTGTATCCACCTTAAAGGTAACTCTAACGCATATTTTCGTAAAACGCTATGAAGGGATTGTCTTCGCTCTAAAAAACTGTCATTAAAAACTATGATCTTCCATTACAATGTACTAAATAAAGACTTTATCTTTCTATATCCGTAATTTTCTGCAAATAATTTTCTCACATTGTTACGATATCGCCCTTGAATAAACTCTAAAACATGAAGTTTTCGACGCAAATAGCATATGCCCTCTTAAAATTTAGCATTCAAATACATAAATTATAAAAGCTTATTTTACGCTAGCTATATTTTCACACTAGTTTTTGTTTCACGTCAATACATGTAATGGTAATGTTTTGTAACAAACATAACAATTGGTGTTGGTCTTGTCAATTTTATATATTTACCTGCATTCATGACCATCATTATCCTGCATACTAAAGAACTAACCTGAGTACAATGGTACATTGATGAAAGTGGCTTTTAACGGCATTAAAAGATGGTCATTACCTTAACTTAGTCATCCTCTCCCTTGTAGACTTAGCTCTGTCGCGTAAAGATGAGAATGCTTTAGAGCGACGACTTGAGTCTGAAAGTATCCAATTCAAATCGTCCATTTCGCTGGATCCCGAGGCCGCACTCTCTGACAAATGAGGTCTGTTAAAAAGTAAGAAAATTCATTTTAAAATATTTTTATTTATTATATTTTTTATAATTATGTATTTTTTAATAAAACGTAAGAGCTGCCTCCAAAGAACTGAAAATAATAAAAAAAAATCCACATAACAGCTCCAGAAGTCAATGTTAAAACGAAAAGTATAAAGAATAAATAAAATAATAACTTTAGAAGCTATTACATGAAAATTAAACCTAATCTTTTTCGTTATGCGAAATGAGCTTTTAATTTTCATTATAAGTTAAATTTTTTGACCCTTTCGAGTGGTCTAAGGAATATCATATGGTCAATATGAAAGTCGTCTAGATATTTACATTAAGAACCTTCGTACCCTAAGAGGGCTACAAATGTATATGGAAACACCTGTGTATTTTAACCTATTTAATAAATAAACAATCGTTAAAATCAATTCGCATTTGACTAAAATATCTTGCTAAAATATCTCGCATAACAAACATAGAAAAAACATAAAATCGAAATTGAAATATACACAGGAAAAGATTCGTGATATTTTTTTAAGAATGATAATATTATTGTTATATTAAAATAAAATTCAAAGTTGATTGAGCATGTCAGATATAGCAAAATTCATTTTATGGATAGAGTGACAACCTGCAGGAAATCGATGAATGCAGGTGGTACATTGACGGGACCGTGAGTTATGGCGTCACTGGTGGTGGGGTGGGGGTGGGGGTATTGTACAGGAGTACTTGTGAAGAGCTATAATGATAATGATTCTAATATTTTGAAGACCAAATGATACTTCTGACTATTGAAATTATTTCAGATACAGTTAATATTCATTATTACAATATCTGTATTTAAGAAAACATTATGTATATGATGAAAATAATAATCCTTCTTTAGAATTCTAGAATTATTTTTATGAAACATGCATCTATGCCTCATCTGCGAGCTTCGATTTTTGCGTACTTTTTAAATAAAAAACGTTATTTTGACACTAGTATTGTTTTTTGTATCGTGCAGGTGATTTGCACACATTTGCACGTCACTCAAACTCTTTTCCGTGCGGTGCAGGTCATCCAGCCGTTATATCTTATTTATATTTATCTCCCTAAGTACTAACCTTCTGTGCTTGTTTATTGACTTAAGCGTAGCATAACCAGACATGTCCATCTGTGTAGGGGGTGAACTGGCCACTTCAGAAGCTGAGAAACCTAAAAATTTTAAAGTATGAGTTATCCACTGCTATTTTTTTTAAATGCCCGCTAATGCAAAATGTTTGTATTTTACTGAAGGTAGGCTCGTGTATCTAATATAAAAATACGGATCAATGCAATATTTTCTTATTGCAACCTGTTGTTCCTCGAAACCATAGAACAACCGGCCGACCGGAGAGGAGTAGCCATATATGCAGGCGTTCCCCTCTGTCAAAGTACAAGTCCACGCAGTCCATGCGTACAATCAAACTTGCTGCAGTTGCACTGCTCACTAGACAAAAGTCCCGAATTGTTCAGTTTTTTTATTTGCAAAAGAGAGGTCTTAGCAGAAGAAAAGAAGATCAAAAGAAGAAAAAAGAGTGATTAAATTTACAAAACGTTACATTTTATTTTCATATACGAGTACATAAGTAATACTTAATCACATTTAAACCTAATAATTACAACAATAACGGTCGTGTCGTTTCGAATTTGTTTGCTAACAAAGGCCGGTCGTCCTCATACAATATGCGAATCAGTCGAGTGACTAATCCGAGCCTATATCCGAGTTTTCGCTGTCACCGAGCTATATTGTTATATTAATGTATCTATGTGTCTGTGAAATTGTTAGTATATATTTTTAATTGTTATGTGGGAGTTTTGTAGTGACATACGACTGTTTTTGTGTGCGCAGAAAAAAATGACAGACAGTTCGGTGTCGGTAAAGAACGATATGGCTACTTCTCCTCGGTCAGCCTGTGCCCAGTATTGCTCTATGCTCAAAATATCTCTTGACTTTCGAATTCGCGTCTAGAACCACAAAAATCATAGTAATATTTTGCAGATATGATTGATAATAAAATTAAAACTATATAATTTGCTTATAAAAATTGCGGAAATAATAAGATATAATAAGGAAAAAAAACTATTTCATAATGAACTTTTATTATAAAAGTTTTTTAGGTTTAGGTTTTAGGTTTAAGATATTATTTATTTCTCAAAAGATTACAAATCGCTTACGATAAATTAAAAATTTACAAACAATAATAAAGAAATCCATTACGAGCATACAGAATATCTAATACCTTTAAACGAGCTATTCTTGTATATATAATCGGAATCTCGGAAACGGCTCCAACGATTTTCATAAAATTTAGTGTCCAGGGTTTGGGTTAGGGTTTCGGGTGCAATAAATCGATCTAGCTAGGATTAATTTAAAAAAAAATGTCGTTTTATCCGTGTTTTAAGAAAATGAAAAAAGGTAAATTTTGACAATGTGTTAAAGATTATAATAGCTCAAATGGGATATCGGGCGGTCACGAAATCGTAGTACCCTGGTTCGAGACCTGTCTTCGGTTTCGACTTATTTTCCTTTTTTTTTCAAGTTCCCTCCTTATTTGAGAAAATCTATTATTTCGAACCCTTTTTTTAGTATTTTTTAAAAACACGACAATTTAAATTAAACTAATTGCACTCATGATTTTTTATTTAAATAACCAGTTCAGTTTTTTTATTATGTCGTAAGATCGAAAAATATTATTATTTCATTAGTATGTAAATTGTATCTAAATATATTTTCAAAAAACACGGTTTCAAAAAAAATACCGAGCAAAGCTCGGTCATCCAGGTTTACAATAAAAAGAACAGTAAGAATAGGTTTGAACATCGCGCACAAATTGTAATGATCGAACAACTAATGCAACTGAAGCAGAAATAAGGGTGCGTGAACCAATTCAGATTTAATTTTAGTTTATATTTTTTTTTGTTTAATTTTCCAAAATATGGCGTATCAATAAGTTTTTTTTTCTCTTTATTATAAAAAATATTTGAACTATTTCCTTGAGATAACCTTGTAATTATATCTTTAATCAGTAGTATACTTTTACACATACGAATATATCCTACATATGTACTTTCTACGTGTTAATTTTAATAGTTATTATGTTTATTGTAAATAATCCACTTCTATTACACCACCACTATTATTAGTACTATTAATATACTTAGCCGAGGATGGAAGTACAGAGGAGCTTCTGAAAGCGGGTGGGAAACCGGTATTTCAAGTTTTTCAGAATCTCTTTAATTTCGTCATTCATGGTAGCACTACTCCGGAGGCGTTGAGCTGCGGTGGTCTTGTTGAAGAAAGCGTTGTCGCCTTTCTTGAAGAACTACAGACCGACTTCCCTTTTAAGTCGCGTCTGCGTGCTATTTTCGAATGTCATTATGAATCGTCTCGCATGCAGACTCGACGACTTCCAACCTCCCGAACATGTCGGTTTCCAAAAAGGCTTTAGGGTTAATATTTCCAATATGGACCATCGATTTCAAAGCCCATATTTTTTTTTGTAGATAGTACTCACTAAAAGAAAGCGTTTTGCAAAGTTTAAGGTTGCGGAAACTTACGGTTCATGAGATATATTTTTTTAAACTTTTCATACAAATTGGCAAATAACACGCAATTACACCAGTTACAAAATAAATTTTTCAAATGATTGATGTCAAACGTCAATTAGTGTAGGGTTCCGAATATTTTGAAAGTATCAATACGTACTCGATACCAAGTATCGTATCAAAAGTATCAATACTACTTGGTATCGAGTACATTTCGTTAATTTTGGAGACTAGGGGGTAAGAAGCCGGGAAGTTGTGCTCCGGCGCTCCGTGGCAGCTCCGGCGCTGCGGAATGAGCAGTGCCTCCGCCCTAGCGTAGGGAAGCGCAGGCACCGAGATCGCCGTAGCGGCTGAGGCTGGTCAAAAGACTGGAAAAAGCCGAAGCTGCGGAGGCGGGCTGGCACTGCTCTCCCTCCGCGCCTCCGGGCTCTTATATACACTCTAGGGGTAGGGCAGACAAGACCACGTGGATAGTGGGGTGCTCTGATTCGGTTTTTTTGGAATTAGATAATACAGAAAATTGCAAACAATAAAATAAAAGTACAAAAGCTGTACTAATTAAGAAATACAAACAAGTTGCAAACAATGAAATACAAGTACTAAGGTGGAACTTAAATAGAGTAAACTTTATTCTAATTTATATACATATATAATTGCACTTATCAGCTCTTCCTATGCATCTAATTGGTTTTTCGTCTCCAAAATTAACGAAATGTACTCGATACCAAGTAGTATTTATACTTTTGATACGATACTTGGTATCGAATAGGTATCGATACTTTCAAAATATTCGGAACCCTACACTAACTGACGTTTGACATCAATCATTTGTCAAATTTATTTTGTAATTGCGTGTTATTTACCAACTTGTATGAAAAGTTTAAAAAATATATCTCATGAACCGTAAGTTTCCGCAACCTAAAGCTTTGCAAAACGCTTTCTTTTAGTGAGTACTATTTACAAAAAAAAAATATGGGCTTTGAAATCGATGGTCCATATTGGAAATATTAGCCAACGTTTTGCGTAACGATTTGCCTTGCGTATGTGGACTATTAAAAAGCCTTTGTTCTAAATATAAAAAATTTAGGCGGTGCTGAAGTCACTTCAGCGGTGCCAAGTTGATTTTCGGTATATCAAAATGCTGAAGTGTTTGTACAGTAGGGCTACGATAGTTATCCGAGTACAGAACCACAGTATGAAACCCATTCAACTGCAGAGGGGTGTAAGACCTTTTGAAGCTACTGGACTGGAAAGGTAACGGACCGTCACTGGTTACGGTAGTAGCATCAATGGCGAGTACATCACTCATTGTCGATTTTGCCGATGATTATAGTCCGTATGGCAGGATCGCTGACGGACCTAAGCACTATGCTCAATGACCTTAATAGTTCCTCTCAATTTGATTGTATTAAATATGTTGCCTGATCTTCAATCGACGTATTTTAAATGGTTTTGTGTCTTGTGCCAATGAACGTCGCAAATAATATTTCATTCTCTAAAACTGAAAATTTATGATTAAACTAATGTTTTAAAATCAAGTTTAAGATCATTGAGAACTGTTTCTACAGTGGCGATCATTTTGAAAACATATTTTCGGATTTGCATCTGCAAATATAGATGATAAATACTTGAATCCGCATTCGTATTCGTAAATATTTAAAAATTTACATTCATCACCGTAAGTTTGTTTGTTCCTAGTGTTCTTCTGTAGCCTAAACGATATGACTGATTTTGAAGTGTGACATGTATTCTATTACATGACTTTTGATCTTTGTGCAAAGTTAACTAAGTATAGAAATGAATATGTTAAATATTATCAATATTACTTACTTGAAGTGGAAGTTCGGCGTTGTGACTCAGGCAACCTGGGCCTTTGAGAACTACTGCTGCCTTTCATGCCGTACAAACTTGAAGAACTTGGTATAGGACTAAGTGTCAATATTCTGTCACTGAAATAAAAATCGAAATAATCAACGACTCTAATTAACAAATAAAATCAACGTTGATTAATTACTTAAATTATCACGCATTTTTTAAAGATAATTAAATAATAACAATTTACACCATCCTCTTGTCAGCTTCCGATGGACCTAATATTAATATTACGAAATGTGTATAGTATAAATTATTATCAGTAATTATGTACTCTTCGAAATGTTAATTAATTATTATTGTGTGATTTATCATGCAACATTTAGAATATTTGGAATAATTATGTTTAATCATATGTTACTTCTTGAAATTATTAGAATTATGTAAAAGGCCACTGTAATAAATAGATCTGTTGGATGTTTATTCTCACTATAATAGTGTATCTAATCTAATCTTAGGTTATTTTGCAAACGCCAATAAGTGAACAAGAAACAAAGGAACCTCTGACAGTACCAGTTGTGTTTTGTATTTAACTTCAATAGTATGTTCAAAGCATATCAAGTAAAGGTGTCGCTTAGCTGCAAGCAATAACCCTGTCTATTCATCATCTACAATAGTATACTAGGTAAATAAAAAAAATATTGCTTTAAAAATTTGACAAAACGTTGAATTGGAATACGTACATGTTATTATATACTTATTGGAAAAGTTTTTTAGTCACAACAAAGTGTGGCCTGTTACAGAAAGTTATTCATTAAAATATATCACGGTAAGCAGAAGAAAGAAGTATTAAAGCAGTTTGTACACTTGAAAACGAAAGATAATGATAATAGGTCGTTTGCTTAAAAAAAGTGTCCCAATGTTTCAAGGTAATTTTTAAAAACTACTTACGGAATGGCGTATTTTCCAAGCACAGAGTCACAACTGCTCACACCACTAGTGCTTGATTCACTGGTGTTTCTAACTCTACCCTCGTGGGCATGATCAAACGAATTCATCCTGCCTAATAGTAGTCTATTCTCAATATGCAACCGATGCGGACCAGGGCGGTCGTAGCTCGAATAGTCCCGTAATATATCCACTGTCCTCGATTCAGTCAAAACGGGCCGATCGTGAGAGCTCGAACAGCCCTGAGTTGGTAATGTATGAGATTTTCTCTTATCAGCTTCACGACGATTTTCAACATAACTTATTTTATGGTCCACGACATCTTGGTCAACTAGCATTTTGTTTGCGTGTTTCGTAACCTCCGAATGCACGCTTTCAACCGTACTTTGGTCGGTGTGATCAGAGTGCTCGCTTAGGTCCATATCGAACGCATTATAACGTCGTTCCGGGGATGTAATGTAATAGTTTAGGTTTTTGGTAGGAGTATATAGTGGTGGATATGTTTCATCCGGTATTATTGGAAATTGATCTTGTCGAGTATGCCTCACGCACAACCAACCTGCAAAAATATTGTCTATTGAATGAATTATACAAGTAAAGTAACACTCAATTACAATACAATAATTATTAGGCCGAAATTCGCTACACAAAAACACATTTGCGAACGAACCTAGATCAGCCAGCAGATTAGCTCCCTCATAAGTGCTGCCAATAAGACCTAACACGTAGAAAGCCGTGGCGCGCACTGAATATACTGGACTGTATTTAGCTAGCCCCACGATATTAACGAGCACGGAATCTTCCAAGAAACCGTTGCTTAGGCTCATCAGCTGCTGTAATCCCTGGTTAGTCAGCGCAGTGTTACCAACAGTCCAGAGAGACGTTTTCAAGTCCATGATCTCTTGTTCTGTTTCGCACTTTTTTCCTTGTAATATCTGAAAAGAAATTTTATTTGAGTAGAAATATTGTATTATCGTAATAAACATGACCTAGTAAACTGTTGCACACAGCGGATCTCTTTGATATATTATTTACTCTAACAGGCATATAATTTTCTTGACTTCTTACTATTTACGTTTTCAATTACGTAATAAGATTCTTTTTGTAAGACTTTCCCAACAAAAAAACGTGTATCCATAGCATTTCATATACAGTTCGGTAGCGCAGTGGCTGCGTTTCCCGCACAGAACGAATATTTGTTTTGCCTACAAATATTTGTTCCAGGTCTGGATATATGTCCATCTGTAAGATAAGTGTAACAGGAGAAAACCCTAGTGTGGAGGTAACTTTTTTTAATAAAAATATGTTTTTTTTTAATATATATATATATAGATCCATCACGTTACACCACTTACTTTTTTATGTTTCTGACCAACTATAATTTATTTCGAAAAAAAAGAAAAATTTATTTAGAAAAAAAAATATAAGTCGTTTTCTTCATTAAATGTTTATTTCTTAGACCTTACAATAAAATTACGAAGTTATAATGCAGCTAGTTTTATGTCATTTTCTATGGAGTTGTTACGGAATTTTTACTATTACAAGTGCATTTTATAAGTTGTCGACCATTAATCGTAAACTTGTTAATTCTACTTAGCTGTGATAGTTTTCTTTTTAACTTCATTGTGCTACTTTTGAGTATTCTTTTCACATATCCAAAAACAGCGTTTAGTTGGTAGGAGGGGGGAGGGGGGGAACCCATGACTCTAATGAAAATACGACTTTAAAGCTAATATTTCGCAAACGAACCCCAGAATCGAAAATGTTCTCCATACCCCCATAATATGTTTTCGAAAGTATTGTCCAACGATACCCCTCACGATGGAATAGACGGGTTAAAAAAATCAATCCTCCATTTACCTGTATGGGAGGTACCCAAAATAAAAATGTTTTTTTTAAGATTTTATTTCACTATTTTGTAAGCGTGATTAATATCTATAACTATGTCAATTACAGATTAGTAGCACCTAGAGTCTCTGAGTAAAACCGGGGACGGACGGACGGACCGACATGGCGAAACTATAAGGGTTGTTGTGTAACTATAGAGAACCCTAAAAAAAATTAGATAAAATACATTTGTAAATAAACGCTTGTAATTATTAAAAGTAATACTTAGTGTGAAAAATAAAGCAGCCATTATGTACTCAGTGTCCCCGTTTTTTATTTCACCAGCAAAACATTTTCGAAAATGTTTAGATATTTAATTAATTAAGAATCTAACTATTTATGACTATCATTATTATAAAAAAAATTCCGAGGAAACTGTCCATGGCAGTAAATATTTATTTCTAAAGGTCATACCTCTAAAATACAATTTTCCGATCTGATTCTTGGGGAAAATTGTTTAAGTTTATTCTGTAGACTCACCTCTTCAGAGATAATTGGGATTTAATACATTTTTAATTAAAATCCAACAAAACGCAGTTTAGTACTAGTAGTAGTAGCGTAGATGCTGTTTATTTTCGGGAACATGTTATATGAATATTTTATAATTATTTTAGATTATAAAATTCAGTTAATTTTTGAAGTTATTCAGTTTCGTGCACTAAGCTAGTTATTTTATATTTTTACCACTTTCTTAACAATAATTTTTCAATAGTTTCTTGGAATAAAAATGTGTGTGTGAGTGTGTGTGTGTTTGTGCACACATGCATGTTCGTGCGTGCATGAGTGCTTACGTACATATTAGCATATTATTTTCCCCCGCAAAAAATAACAGACAGTTCTGTATCAGGGAAAAACACTTTGACTATTCCCCTCCGGTCCGCCGATGGCACGTGTTGCTCTGTGATTGGCCTCCTTACTAACGAGCTGTAAAAAAATCATTGAACAATATGAAGCTATTTTAGGGATTTTAATTATAAAAGATGATAACCTTAAAGTGTGCGGGAAGCGCGGCAGCGAGTAATGCGCGCGCGTGCACACTGACTGGCGCGGAGGCTGGGGCGGGAGTGGAGGCTGAGGCGGAGGCGGGCGCGGCAAGCGCGGCGAGTGCGGTCAGCAAGTGCGGCGGCGGGCGGGCGGAGCGGCGCGAAGCTCGTGGCCTCCGCGCGCCTTCACACAGCGTCAGTGCATCGTGTACGCCCGCCTCCACCAATCGCACGTACCTTTAATTCATACAAGAATAATATTAATGGCTGCGTTTGGCAGAAAAAAGCGCTAGCAAGCGCTTTTAAGCAAAATGGCGATCGTAAGCGGTAAGCGCTGTCAAATCGTAAATAGCTATTTTCCTCTAGGACACGAAGTTAGTTTTAACCGGGGAACCTAACCTAATTTAAATATATTATGTTTGTAAAGTATTCATATTACAAAGTTACCAATCACAAATGCTTAATAACGTCTATAATATGTTTATTCATGTCATTATATTACTTAAAACTAATATTGCACAAAACAACTTATAAACTCTACTTCAAAACAAACAAATTAAATAAGCAAAATGGCGGATTGTGTCAGCGCTACTGAAGTTAGCAAACGTGTCCTGGCCGAAAACTGTTTAGTTTCGCCATTTTGCTTACAAGCGCTTGCTAGCGTTTTTTTCTGCCAAACGCATCCAATGTTAACGTGATAGAAATACGCTGCAGCTATGTTACGATTGCAGCACGAATGAGTCCGTTTTTATTTTATTTTATTTTAATAAGGATTATTTTGTATACGATGTCTATCTCTAAGCAGTTTAAACTCTTCATAATCACGAGGATTCTTCCATTTTTTACATTTTTTATGGGCTTTTGATTTCTCCCGCAAAACTTTTATCAATGCAGGGCTGTACCAACATGGATAACAATTATTACAAGAAGACACAAGGGGAACAAATAGAGCAAAGCATTCGTTTAATTTTTTATAAAAAAATTCTACAGCATGATCTACTGATTGAGTATGGTCCTTCCGGAAGCGGAAGCGGAAGGACCATACCCAATGATCGCAAAATAGTCAACATTCCTATAAATTTCGGGCTCACACAAGGAAAAATAAAAATTCAAATTGTTAAAATATTTCTACTCACCGGTAATTATAGGATTTGGTCCAGAAATCCAAATGTTTCTTAAGGAATGCTATCGATTTGGTATCATTTGTTTGAGCGGCTGCGGCAACTTCAAGCCCCAACCACAATAGATAGCCTCTATCACCAACAGCGCTAAAGTCTAACGTTGACGGCTCTGCGTTCTTATCTAGTCGGCAATTCAGACCCAGCGTGTCCTTCATTGTCGTTAGTTTTTCTAGGAATGCCTAAAAGAGCGATCAATTATTTCAAAGTGAAATCATGACGACTGTTGGGTTAAACCATAGATTACTATAATACACAATAGAATGGCTGTCAACCTTATTTTGTACGAGATTCCGCGTCGCCGGGAGCACACATACAAACAATTACGTCGTATTATCAGTTAATCGCTACTACTAACCCGATTCGCTGTGTTGACAGACGGATTTTAATACATATTTATTTGTAAATAGCGTGCAATTTGGCATTTTCTAATTAATTTGCACGCGAAATTTGGAAACGATTGTAACGTCAAAATCCATCTCGTGTTGATATTTATACGTACGGGAATTGACGTCTTGTGACATTTTAGTGGCTACACGGGATCCGCACACACCCACGTTCTATTATGTATGTATTATAGTATTCTAAGGGTTAAACGCAACAATATAGAATAGAATGTTATATGGAGACTAGTAGATAGTCCACGTACATGCGGTAGTGGTATAGACAGCAAAAAAATAACAATTATTAACATTCTTAAGAATATGTGTTTACGATTATTTAAAAAATGCAATAACATAAAACTTTTGTATATCTTCTTTACTACAATATGTTTGAGTTTTAAGAATTGTTAATGTTTTTATTTATAGAATAAAAGAAACAAATGGTGCACAATACTAACGTGGAATAACAATAACTAATGTTAAACACTTAATTAAAACAAAAAAATGTAAGATTTTTATCCGCAAGTACAAGTTGAAACTGATGTAAATATTGTGTGAAAGAGAGAAAGCGAGAATGTACGTAATATACATTATTCAATATTGGCAACCTTTAAAAAACATATAGATAGATCTGACAAAAATCAATAAATTTTTTTTTGTCAATTTGTACATCAATAATATCACTTGAAGATCCTTCTAACACAAAAATAGTAATGATAACTACGTACTGGCACGCTATAAGCTTCTTCCAAAATTGATAAAGCGCATTTAACGACTTTTTTAGATTCATCTTTGACTTGCCCAACCAACATTTGCAGTATCCACGTGTCCATATCCACTTCGTTGACACTGTCGCCGTCATCTCTACAAAAATGCTTCCATTGGTCTTGAGTATAATTCTTTTTAAGTTTAGATTTCTTTCGAACCAGTTCACGAGAGTTTCTGGACGCTCGTAAAAGAACGTTTAAAAATTGAGTTGCATAGAGTCTTGATGCTTGTATGTTGCAAGTTAGTGTTTTAGATAGAATATCACGTGGGCTTGAGTTCAGCGTGTAATCTAGACTTGATATAACCAGCTTTACATAACAACTGTGGTGAGTCTTTGTTGATAACTCCAGAAGACTGCAAAAAAAATGTTAATGGTGATCAAACCCTACAAAATAATTAAATTATAGAAGCTATAATATAATATGTTCATATTGTGCAACAGAAATTTTCGCTCATTACATTGAAATTTAATAGTGTTTAATTAAAAATTTTATAGTAAACAGTGGTAGAGCCACGCGGCAGCTTTTGCTGTTGCACGGCTCGAACCGGGGAAGTAACCAATCCCCCCCCCCGTCCATTACCATGGTAACGGAATCAAATTAAATATAGGGTACCAGCACCACTTGTAATGGATAATCCCTTGCTGAGCATCCATGACCAAGCTACTTCAGTCCTTCTAAACGTGGGTGCTCAGGATGCCTCACTTATTATGGGGGCGGGGGAGCAAAACAATGGAATCCATTATAAACTGCCATCTCATGAAGTACCATGAGGTTCGCCAGCTGATTAGTGACCGTCAATGCGGTTTTCGTCGGGGTCGATCAGCTGATGATCTTCTGGTCTACCTGAATAATAGATGGGGGAGGTAGATTCCAAGGGCTAAGGTATTGGTCGTTAGTTTGAACATAGCGAAGGCCTTCGATCGGGTTTGGCACAAAGCGCTTATTTCGAAGCTCCCTACCTATGGCTTCCAGAGAAATCGAGAAATTGTGCAATTGGTGCACCAGCTTACTTGCAGATCGGAGCATCAAGGTCGTTGTAGACTAAAGATTTTTTGAAAACCTAAACGGAATCAAAAAATGTAAAAAATGAGTTGTTTTGATATTCATGTTCAGGTCATTGGTTCTGGTAATGTAATATTTAAAATAATTATTGTCTTAGAGACGTGACAACTCGGAAAAAAATTGACTTAAGTTAACTCGAGTTGAAATTCAAGTAAGTCGATTTGAACTCGAGTTACGCAATTCAAATTAGCTGAACGAAACTGTGTCAACTTGTCACACATTATTTTTATGATTGTTCTTAAATACAAAACAATTATTATTACTAAACTTAATAGGTTGTTATATATTTTTGTTTTGCGTATCGACAATCTTCATAAAATAATATCACTTTAATGTTATGACGTAGGCCTTAATGTTATTAATAATTTGACTATCATAAAGTATACTTAATCAATTTATGTTAAATTGATTAAGTATACTTAACTATGTAATTACACAAAATAGAAAGAAGATGTTTTAAACTGCTTTATAATCCTTACACAATATCCTTTAAAACATCTTACTTTCATATTTATCCTGTGTAATTACATAGTTAAGTATACTTAATCAATTTATGTTACATATAATATAAATTGATATTACATAATAAACGTATTATCTAATATCCATTTATAATAATGTAACATATCAATAAATACTGTTAAATTATACCTGTGTTTTAAGATGTTTTGAACTGCTTATATAATCCTTACACAATCATTTTGGTGCGGCGGTTGACCCGATTCTAATCAGCAGTTTAAAACATCTTACTTTCTCACTATTTATCCGTGTGTAATTACATAGATAAGCATGTTATTACCCAGTAATTTTATTATAATGTATGAGATGTTTGGAGGTACTTACTAATCAACCAAAACATATTAAAACAAAGACTTGACACCGCTCCTGTCTGTCTATCGCAATCAATCATCAAAGTTCAGAAACTTTATTAACTAAGTCTTTATAAAAAGGGTTATTAGTAATAAGGAATTTATGGATGATAATAACCCCTGGGTAAGGTGATCGCTACCAAGCTATTTCTAATTTGTTCTGTGTTGTTAATTGTAACATACATGATTGTAAGCTGTTAAATTTAAAAAAGACCCACTGGGTTTCTTGCTGGTTTTCTCCAAGACAGAGGTTTTTTCCGAACCAGTGGTAAATTAAAAAAAGTGATTCTTAATAAGTATTATTTATAATCTATATCAAATAAAAAGTTTCGGTTTCTGTACTACTATTGATAGAATACTTCAGAAATTATGATTTACAATAATAAATAGTTACATTACATTTTGTTTTTTGTAATACAACCAGTTTAAAACATATTTCTTAACATGTGTTGGTAATATTATAAATACAAATGGACATATTATCCCTTAGTCATTTTGGCTTTAATCATATTTCTTTAATGGTATTTTGAATGTACACTCACAATCAATCAATACATGTCAAAAATAGAATCCATACGACATTTGTGCACAGACAGGCATTATATTTTGCATGAATCAGTGTAAAGATTTTCCATCAATCGTTAAGTATCTATAAATGCTGAATCTACCGATAACTTTCTTTTATATGTAATATTATTCAACTGTGCAATATTTTAACTTATAATACCGGATTGAATACTACAAGAAAATCGCTTTCAGTTTGTTTTTAGGTTATTGTTAGTTTCATATTTTAATTGGTAATTTCTCAGGACTCCGTTTAGATGCAGTAAAATTAATAATAATTTTGTAATTTATAGATTATACAGAATAAATCGTCACGCATTTCATTAAGAATCCTTAAAATTTGTGGCGGGCGCATTCTCCATATAAAAATAAATTTTCTTCTTTTACGAACGCATATCGTGTCAAAATTCACGATACCATCCACACCACCTGGATACTTGGCGGTCCACCACTGTGCGTTTTACTAGAAGTTTACCTCCTCGTTCAACATCTGTGGAATTGTTTACCACCGGTAATTTTTCCGGAACGATATGATGAGGGACCTTCAAGAAAAGAGCTTACTCCTTTCTAAAAGGCCAATGCACCTGCTATTGTCCTGGTTTTGCAGTTGTTCATGGGCAGTGGTAGTAATTTACCATTAGGTGAGCCGCATGCTCGTTTGCCCACTCATCTATAAAAAAAGTATTGGTTGCTTACCGCCGAAAAGTTTGGGCATACTACAAATTTACCTATAAATACGTTAATGATTTATGTATTTGGCTAAATTCCAAGTGTCTCAGTTTTTCATAGAGTTCTTAAACTTGAAGAGAGAAAGTAAGCAAGCAAATCGTTTTTTACAGTATGTACATCGAACTATTGAGAGTGTGCGTTTATGACACAACTCAATGCACACAACTCAACAGGTAAGCAATGTTAGAGTACACATCACTTTTTGGCCGTCGAGTGTCGTAACAGTCGGCCAACTGTTCCAAACCCGATTCTACATACGGTTGGACAGTAATCTCCACGTTGTTGATGTAGTTGTTCCTTAGGACAAAGCGTTTTGATTCTTAGTTTTAAGATGCACGCACAACTATTATACTACAACTTGGAACTTTTGAAGGTCTCTACACTCACCATACGAAACACAGCATTATTAAGCTGCTATTTACGCTGGTATTATGTGAGAGAGTGGTCCTTCCTTAGTCGAGCCGACTCATTTGTGCCACAATCATAAATAGCTGCAGCGTGACTCTACCATGTATGAAATTAAAAAACAGCATTTTTAAAAATATCCGCACGTAAAAATAAAGAGGTATGACACTTCCTAGTTTTGTAAATGATAGTATAACTATTTTCTCCTAAAACTTTGCAGACTTAAACATTTAAATGAATTAAAGTTAAATCGTAAAAATTACTTACTTATCATAAAGACCGGTTTGATTAAACAACTTCAAGCCAGCATGTGAATGGCATAGTTGTCCAATGAACAGGAAATACATTTGGCACATCGTGTTGCACATATGTTGTGGGCTAAAAAGACATTCGTGAGCCTTTCGACCTGTTTCAATAGCTTCGATTTGACGGCTTACATCCATGAATAAGTCTTCTAACATTTTCTGTGAATCAGTCTATGAAAAAACCGCTAAAATTATACACTTAAAAAAGAGTAATTATGTATTTTGTTAAACATACTTGAAAAATTCTATAAATTGAATTGATATTGCTCTATGGATAAAGGAATAGAAAATTCATTACGACGTCGACAAGGCTAACGAACAAAATATTCAAAATGATTTTGTTAGCCTGTGTCCTAATTGTTTTGGATTAGTGATTTATTTGTCTAAGAATATATTTTATTATTTTTACTTTAGTAATAAATGAACTCAAAAGCACAATTATTAACTATTGATTACTTGAATTACATATAACAAAAATGTAAAATTAAAACAAAACTTACATCATTATGTAGTAACAAATGCCTTATTAACTGGCAACCAGCCCTCGTAGCAGTATGCCCATTACAAGTAGTCGAAAGGTCTGTATGGGAGTACTTATTAGAAGAAGGTTTCAGGTAGCTAATGATGCGACTCGCCCAAGCTTTATGCCCACTATCATTCAAATTTAATAAAGGCGACCCATCTGATTCCTATAATTTGTTTTTAATTATTAACAAGTGTAAGGAACAAGGATAATGGTTTATATAGATTTTGTTACCTTTAATATCGTTCGTATGATTTCCCAATCCCAAGTATTTCCATCCTTACTTTGCATAACTAAAGTCGATCGGATCCAACTATCGCTGTCGCGTTCGAACAGACTGAAGAACTTTGCCGACTTTGACACTTTACTCACGGCGGAACCAGTTCGAGAACTGACACTTTTGCTCTTTACTAACGCACTAACATTCCTGTTTCCAACATCGGCACGTGAACCCACGCTATGCCTTTGCTTTGGTTCGTTCTCGTTGTCGGACTCGTTTAGGAACTCGGCACTGCTTTCTTTATGCACTAGAAGCTCGTGGTATGGTTTTGCCATGCTGGCATTGTCCTTCTCCTTCCTGCTTTTCGTCGTATCCTCTATTTTAAGTCTAAATGCACCACTACAATATTGTATGATGTGGTCTAGGAACAAACTGTTGCTGGCTGGACGGGCCTCTAGCATAGAATGCAGTCTTCGCAGAGCTGCGACAGCCGCTAGAGCCTGAGGTTTTCCTGCAGATGCTTGGGACATCAGCGAGGGCAACGTGGGCGATATATTACAAATTTGAGGAGGTAGAAACAAGTGTATTAAATGCAATAGTTGACCTAATAATACAGTGGCACGAACCGATATAAATGTATCACTTGTCACGATCACTTCAGCCAATCCGTCCAGCAATCCAGCCTGAAAGAATTATTTTATGAATATATCAGTTCTTATATATAGTGTAACTGTAGCGTAGGAAAATCAATACATCTTGTTCAATAGGTTTTGGTGTTAATTTACAAAATAGAGGTAAGGAAAATCTCCAATAGACATCAAAATCTATCAATAACTATTATATATATATATATATATAAAAATATATATAATATATATATATATATATATATATATATATATATATATATATATGAGTGTGGTTTGCAAGATGATGCGGTGACCAGGATTAAGAAAGGAATGCTTCGGTGGTTTGGTCATGTAGAAAGAATGAACGCGGAAAGACTGACAAAGCAAATATATGTTGCAGAAGTGAATGGAAGAGTCGGAAAGGGACGTCCTAGGCGGAAGTTTGTCGACCAAATTGGCGATATACTAAAAATGGGCCAAATTAAGAGTACCCTTAACCGACGAGCATGTATGCGTAGGTATATGGATGTGGAAGAGGCGAGAAAGGTATGTCTGGATCGTGCTAAATGGAAGTCTGTAGTCTCTGCCTACCCCTCTGGGTGACAGGCGTGTTTATGTTATGTTATTATATATCTTAATATATATTAATCACGTGTCGCGTTGTACATACAACTAAAAAACTACAACATTTTTTGTGTTCATTGAATTTACGCGTACCATCAAATTGTACACATGCCGATACACTGGTACCGCTGTCTATATGAGTAAGCAACGTAAGGGGAGGCAAAGGTCAATATTATAAAAAAATCATCATAGTCCGCATAAGTTCAGCGTTAATAAGTGATTTTTAATGTTTTATCATTCATTACCTACAGCCCTTCACAAGTCCTAATATGTCCAATAGTGAAAGGTTTTTAGTGTAATATAAAATTATGATTTTATTAGTAAATATAATTATGGCCAGTTTTTGAAAGACTGGTCAAACTCAGATTTTAATTCAAATTTAATCAAAAAGTTGGCTATGGGTATTTTCCACGTTGTGTTTATACCAAGCAATAAAAATACTAATGCGTTAGTAGCTTCATCGAAATTATCGGATATAATATCAAACCCATAGTCGACATAGCCATAGACATTCTGTAAAATCATAAGCTCACTTTTTTTACACAGGAATATTTTGATTGACCTTTGGCTGCTAGCATGGTATTTCATTATCTGCTTATTTTTCATTTCCTCCATGACCAAGGTACAATATTTTTTTATCAGGGGTACACTCCGCTCTCAATTTTAATGCTGTTAGCGCTCCTTGAGTAAACCCTGGTCGGCCATTGATGATACTGTACCACTTAATCAATATCCGTGGTGCCGGCAAACATGTTCCACAAGTTTTATGTGCATATCCATAGAATTTTCGTTAATAATCAAGTGTTAGGGTGAAACATCTTAACTCTGTGAAATATTTAGTTCTGAGCAGTTTTCAAACTTACTTTTAAGTAATTGTCTCTTTAAAAGTTCGCTTTCTTCAGTTCCTATCTTTTCTAGTATCTGTTTTTTTTTATTTATCAAAGATGTCTCTGTCAGCGAATCTAGTTAACTTCCCAGTGGGAAGTTATTGTAATGGGTCCGATTTTGCAAATTGGAAATTTTAACATATCTCCACTCTTCAAGGTCTTTAAGAGTCGAATAGTACGGTTTTTAAGAGGATGTTCATGTGTGCACATGTACGTATGTATGTTCGGATTAATATTTCGCCTCGTATATCTCGAGAACAAAGAGTGATGTTGACATGGGGCCAGTTTCATTTAACGCATAATTATGTAACTTAGACCTCATTAAATTTTGAGCAAAATCGGTCAAGTCGTTTTTTGTGCCGAATGAAAAATTGTATAAAATATTAAAACATATAATATTTTTTTATTCTTTGCACTGGGAAGTTAGTCGTGTGGACCTTTCGGTAGGTGCGGCCGCTTTTATTTCTTGCAAACTTATAACTTTTCCTTTGAATACCGGTACTGCCATTGAAGCCTCTTTATGGTATTGGTTTTTATTTCGAGGCGTTTTTTTAGTTTAATTTTCCTTGGTGTACAGTCTCTTCGCTTAGATACGGTCGTTTTTGTGCCGCGCCGCCTGAGTACGTGCCGCATTTTGTCAAAAGTGCGACATTAAAGTTCGTACTGTAAAGCACTCGAAACGTCGGGTACAAAAGTCTAAATTTTACGCGACAAAATCCGTAAAATTAGTTTCATTTAATGTGTAGTGTTCGCGTAAATATAAGAAGTCACCAATATAAACTTGTAAAAATTCTTCCCTCAAGTTCAAGGTTGGTACAGCAGTAACGGCAAACCTTCTTTTATTTATAACTTGGGCTATGAAATATGATTTATCAAAATATTCGAAGTAAATAGTGATAGTCTGTTTAGGTATCCAAGATTCATGATTTCTCCAAGCTGCAAACCAAGTCTGCCGCTTAAGAAAATCTCTTGGAAATATGTAAAATCAATCCTTGTGCACAGGCTTGAGGGTATAGGTATACACTTAGATTTATTTAAAGACCATCTTAAGGATTGCAAGCAGAAAGTAAAGATAGGTGAATACTTAAGCGATGTATCATATATAACATTCGGAATTCCGCAGAGCAGTCCTGGGTCCTACTTTGTTTTTAATCTACATAAATAATCTAACCAACATGGACATTAACGAGGGTAATATAATCTCCTATGCAGATGATAATATTTACTGTTGACTCCTGAGATTCTGTTCGTAGATCTGCTGAAGAAGGCCTTGCTAGGATCGCTAAGTGGCTGAAGATTAACCCATTTACTTTAAATACTTTTAAAACTAGTTATATATGTTTTTCAAACTAAATTCGAACTCAGCCTAATATTAATTTCCAAATTAATCTTCACACAATCTATGATCCCTTAAGTACTAGTTTCACTTAAGTAGTAGTTCATTAATTAGTAAGGTCTCTGAGAACATAGTTGTCCAACATTTAATCATAATTGACCAACATTTGTCATGGCATAGACACATTAATTAAAACTACTTTTACGGATTTTATCGCGTTTAATCTTAAATTATTTTTAATTCCCAACGTTTCTGGTGCTTTCCGGCACCCATGGTCACGGGAGACTGAGGTAACTGACGTCCCGATGTCAATGTTAATCCGGAGTACCTTCAGCTTTTTAATTATTGTTTATGGTCCGATCTATGCAGAATGAACTTACTCTGTCTTGAAGTCTTGCAGTGGTATGCTTGGGTTTAGTTTTAATTTTATTAATTACAAGGTCCCAAGCAGGTGGTAGTACCCAGCCTCCTTCTCTATTGAAATAAGGATGTTTTTTAATTACAATAGCCTTGCGTGTCATCCTTGGTAGTAATCGATGTTTTTGGCGAGGATTTGTGGTCTATCAAATCTGATGTAATGGTTGGGGCCCGCCTAGGATATGATCACAACTGCAGACTTCCCCGTTTGTGATCATATTACCACCTGCTTGGGACCTTGTAATTAATAAAATTAAAACTAAACCCAAGCATACCACTGCAAGACTTCAAGACAGAGTATGTTCATTCTGCATAGATCGAAACTCGGACGGATTCGGATTTTGTGCAGGAAAATACACTGCAATTCGACATTTTTGTCGGAGCTCAATTAACTGGCACGATCACTTGCGTAACGGCGCACGACGCGGATCAACTAGTTTCATATAACGGCTATGAGTCGGACTCACACAGAGGGGTATGCCCTGCGATGCCGTCTCCTTTGGTTTAATACTCAAAGAATAAGGGTGACAAACGAGCACACTGTCCAGCTGATGGTAATTGAATGCTGTGGCCCATAGAGTATTACATCTGTCCTTGATTAAGAATCCAAACCAGTGGCGAAGCTTCCGTAAAAGCCGAAAAGCCGGGCTTGCCTTATTAAAACTGAATCAATCAATAGTATCAATCAATAATATCAACTAATAAAATAACTCATAAACTGTTTCAAATTATTTTAATTTTCCCGCGCACTCCACTGTTCGACACATGTCGACCGATGACCTCGTATTGCCTTAGCGATACGTTTATACAAAGGTACTCTGTGGCGATACTGCTGCTGTCATAAAGTGAATTTTAATAGAGCGATTCGTTGTCTATCTCGCTCGCGTGGGCTTTGTACGGGGCTTTCGAGAAGACGATCGCTCTCTTTCTAACCTATGGCAAAATATTCTATAATGAAATATAACTACGAAATGTTTATATAGCAATTACTATTGAGCCAACAAGCCTGGCTTTGCCATGAAGTTGTTTAGGAGTGCGTTAGCGACTAGCGAAGTGGTTGCGGGCCCCTCGTATGCAAGTTCACTTCACATTTCAATGTTTATTGTTTGTTAAAAATTTTATGCTTTTTCGAAGATTTTCAGTGAAAATGGGAGGATAATAGTATTCATTGTGATGAATATAAGTGTGTTGAAGTGCTAATCGGCGAGGAAAAGGTAAAAATCTTTAAAAATGGAATTTAATATTCAATAAACATTTCTTCATACTTTAAATATAGGTACAGGACTCTTTAGTATTAAAGTTTAATTAAGTTAGTCGTATTTAAAGGTTTAATAACTCAATGTTTATATTACCATACGAATTAAAAATATCAATTTGGACAGCAGCATAAAGTATGAGACCTAGGTTTAATTTTAGAGAAAATAAGTGTTACAATCTTTTTTTTAACGTGAAGCCCAAATTTTAATTAAATAAATCAAAAGAATACAGAAGAATGTAATGAGGTTTTTAAAGAATAGTACTCCCTTTTTTTTATTTCCAGTTAAGTTTCTCTGTCTACTTTTCAGTATATAAAATTTTAATGGCGCCATCTACTTAATTCTATACGTAAAGTCATTTTATCGAACGAAAATTGGTTGATTCTCACGGTGGTACCTAAAGATTACTCTAGATGGCACAAATAAGCTATCGGCTAATTTATAGTGATATATGAGTTTAAAAATATCATTTAGTACGGTTTATTATGAATTGAAAATGAATAGTCATTATTTTATGGTAAAAAAATTAGCAAAGCTTTATCTTCTCATTATAACTATCTAATTCCTGTCGTAATCTGTTCTTTTACGCATATAACTTAAACAAAATATAATTTCGAGGTTTCACGTCTGCCAGGCGTCCCTTTTTTAACTTTGTACATAGTTTGTTTGTACTTTGTTCATGCTTTTCTTTTGTTCATGTATTGTATTCTTTGTAAATACAAGGTGGCCCATAAGTCGTTAGAAATGTAAATTTCGAATAAAATACAAAAGGCGCGCATGAGTGTCGCGCGCGGTGCGGGGGGAGTACCGACGGTTTCTGGGAATTCAGTCGCCATGGAGCGTTTCACCGGTGCGGACCGTGCACTTTGTGTGCGCGAGTTTTATCGAAACAATGATTCGGCTACCATTGCGCGACGTAAATATCGAGAATATCAAAATTTACGCAACTTTAAAGACATTCCAAGTGTTCAAACGATTAAGAACTGGGTTATTAAGTTCGAAGAGAGTGGTTCGACGTTGGATAAACAACGGTCAGGTCGACCAAGGACATCACGGACGGAAGAAAACATCGATGTAGTGAAACACTCAATTCGTGAAAATCCTACCCAGTCTACTCGTAAGCATTCCAGTGCATTAAACTTACCCAGAACATCGTTACAGCGAATTTTAAAGAAAGATTTACATCTTCACCCGTACAAGATTCAGATAGTACAGGAATTAAAAGATACTGACACTATCCACAGACTAAATTTCGCAAATGAAATGTTGAACCGCTTTACTTCGTTTAATAACGTGTTATTCTCTGATGAGGCTCACTTTCACATCAACGGCCATGTCAATAAGCAAAATTGTCGCTACTGGAGTTGCGAAAATCCAAATCGCAAACATCAAAAGCCCTTACATAGCCCTAAAGTGACAGTTTGGGCGGCTATGTCAGCGCATGGCATTATAGGCCCTTACTTTTTTGAGGACGGCAGAGGCCGCGCGCTTACTGTTACTTCACAACGGTATGTAGCTATGATCCAGGACTTTTTTACACCAGAGTTGCAGAATTTTCCAGGCTTCAATACGCGGACCTGGTTTCAACAAGATGGAGCAACTGCCCATACCTCTAACGTCGCTATGCCGGTCGTCCGTCAACTTTTCCCTAATAAAGTGATCTCTCGAAGAGGAGATATTTCTTGGCCACCACGTAGTCCAGATCTGACCCCAATGGACTTTTTCTTATGGGGTTATCTTAAGACTAAAGTGTACGAAACCAACCCGCGGACAATTGATGTCCTGACCTGAAAGAAAATAACCAAAGAGAAATGGCAAACATTACAGAGCTTACTTGCCGCGCAGTGATGGATAATTTTAAACTTCGCTTATAGGAGTGCCGCGATCGTAACGGATTACATTTAGATGATGTAATTTTCAAAAAAATAATTCCCATTTTATAAGGATTATGACAAAATAAAAAACGTTTTTCATAATGTCATTAGTTTTTTTTAATTATTTTTTTACATTTCAAGGGACTTATGGGCCACCCGGTATCTCAAGCAAACCCAAACGGCTATTTTCAAAACCATCGAAGGTGTGCAATTGCATATTATGTCATACAATCTATCTAGCGGTAGTATGCTTTCTGTGTGCTTTGTTAAACACGTCCTTGTCAGCACTGAATATGAAACTAAAGAGTGGAGACAGCTGAAGATTGGTGTATTTTTATTAAACTGCTAAAAACAACAAAACCATATCTTGGGCTTGCCCTAGTTTGGAGCCCTAGCTTCGCCACTGATCCAAACGCAGATGCTTTGTCACCTCTGAGGACTAAGATGGAATGCCTTATTTCCAGTAAACTTGGGTCTACTTGTGCGAACTATAGCAAAGATGAAAAAGTTGCCCTACAAGACAATGTATAGGGGAGGACTACGTTCAACAGTGGACTTCTAATAAGCTGCAATGAAAATAATCTTTATTTAGATTTCAGTAGTAGATTTCAAAATTACTTATCTACTATGGGTTGCATTTGTATCTATAGCATGTAGCGGCGCTGTCGTCGCGCCACAAGCGAAAAACACACCGAAGCCTAAATCGCGCTATCAACATTCCGAATCATAAACAGTATATATAGAACATCTCCGAACTATCACACGGAGTGTCGGCCGCTCCCCGGGCAGAACACCTTGCCCGGCGGGAGATCTCCCCTTTTCCTTCCACGGCCACAGTGGTGACCCCGACGTGATCTGAACACGCAACCAAACAACCTTCGGAAACTTCAAGCTTCATAATCGTCATAGAATACCCCACCCATTCGCTCCCGAGCAGATATCGTCTGCAGTCTTCATATCCTGCAAGCCATCTAGCTTTACAAGGTTCATCGCAGCACTGGAATAATAATGCTTCCTGTTCCTTCAAGCTACTCACTGCGCTATACAGTGTTCGGCACGGCTCTGAGCCTTACTGCTCGCCTCTGCTTCACGGCACTCTCGCAGATTACTTGCCTTCTTCTCGACTCACCGCAGACTACAAGGCAATCCACTGGCACTTGCACATTCGTCGGCAACAAGGCTGCACTAACGACCTCCGGTCTGAGCAGGGGGGTGATGTAGCGGCGCTGTCGTCGCGCCACAAGCGAAAAACACACCGAAGCCTAAATCGCGCTATCAACATTCCGAATCATAAACAGTATATATAGAACATCTCCGAACTATCACACGGAGTGTCGGCCGCTCCCCGGGCAGAACACCTTGCCCGGCGGGAGATCTCCCCTTTTCCTTCCACGGCCACAAGCAGTTTCCTATAAGAACTAACAATTAACTGTATAGTAAAAGAGGAATATTATAAGTTGTATAAGGAAAGGTACATTGTTTCGTTTCCTTTTACTAATTTGATAACTTTATTTCACACAGGGAACAACTTTAGATAATATTCAACATTTAATAGGTCGTTATTGAAATCAACTAGGAAAGAATAATCATAATCATTAATACTTATCCATATTTTATTGATGCCGAGATTTTAAAGCATTAAATGATAGTTTTTTTTAACATACCTCTAGGAAACACTGAAGTAACAGGGCAAGGTGAATTTCAATAATATCAGGCCCGGTCACGCTTAGGTGAGGTAGAATGGAAGTGCCTTCTGCTGCCACAAAGCCTTCGTTCAATCGCCATGAGTCCTAAGGTTATATAAATAATATAATACCTACAAGATATATATATATATATATATATATATATATATATATATATATATATATATATATATATATATAGAACATAGTATAAATTTTCAATTATGCATAAACAAATATTGTATTTGAAAAACAACACAAACTTCTTGTGAAGTTATCTTATTTACGAAAAGCTAAATAGGATCAACACATGAGAGCCAACATAAAGCAGAGGCCTTTATTTTAGCAACCTCCACCAAATTAAAAAAAATATGTTTAAACTAAAGCTGTATAAAAATATGATTGTTACGTGCCAAATCAAGTTTAGAATACCTGGAAATCAGACGGATCCACGGCGTCCAAAGCGACGGAAATCTCATCCGTCCACTCAGGTTGTGGTAATCCAACTAATTCATACAGCAAATCCAATATGGCTTTCTGAAAAAACTCCCATTATTGGATTATATTATATTAACAATCTTATGTAAGAAATACACGTTATAGCCCTTTGCCATTTATTATTTATACATCTCAAATAATGAAGAACAATATAATAATATATAATATATTATACAAACATATAATCATTTTGTTCTTTTAAAACCCTCAACCACTTTTAATGAAATTTAGGAACAGATATATTTTCGGTCAGGAATTCGTTACCATAGATCCTGTTATGCCACCTAATGTGAAAAATATATACTTATAAAATCAATCCGCCAAGACTCACCAACTAAATTTTACATATAAATAATTCCTCTCTGACTGACTCCCCACTATAATAATTATGTAACTTAATTCAAAAAAACCATTCATAAAAGTCTTCATATAACAAAATGATGTTTAATAGTACTTTAAAAAGATAAAAAAATGAAAAGAATACTCACTCGGACTTCTAGCCGCGGCAAATAAAGTGCAGCAACCAAAGCTCGCAAGCCGCCTTTGCTGCACGGGTGGCAGAAGTGGAGCAAGCCCGGCCAACTGCGCAGGACACACAGTAGCGCGAGTCTGCTGCACGTGAACCGCATCTCGCGTTCGTCTCTGTATAATCACAATGTAAATGTTGTCATACAAAAGTATGGCTTGTAATTTCATAACAGTGTAATGTCTCTTCCAGACCGATTTTCGGTCATGGCGATAGTCTGAACGGAAACCAGCCATCTGCGCAGGTCACAATTATAATGCTTAAGTGCGTAAGCAAGCACAGGTGCACTACAATACAATACAATACTCTTTTTTTTACACCAATAACTGATAAATCTTACAAAAAAAAAACAAACAATGAGGGAAAAATAAAGGGCGGTCTTATTGCTACAAGGCAATCTCTTTCAGACAACCCAGAAGAAATTAATAAAAATGAGAAAAAAATTTACAGGTAGAGTGCCCTAAATTAGAAAAAAAATTAAAAATAGTACCTTATGTACTAAAATTACAGCATAATTTAGGTAGATCAATGACCATATATAAAAGGAGGAAGAGAGAGGAGTTAAAGCGACAAATAGTGTTCCTTAATCTAATATCTTGAACACATTTAACTCACTATTCTCGCACTCTCAGTCAAATAAGGCGGTAATCCGGTATGACCGGAGATATATCAGGCGCAGGACCAACGGCTTTTTGTGCTTTCACAAACACGGGAGTGAAATAGAATTTTTGATACAAAAAAAAACTACTGCTATTACCCAGGATTGTAACCCGAGACAATATGATCAACATTGGCGTTTCCACTAGACCAACAAGGCAGTCATATGTATCATACCAATGCATTTTCGGATACATTTACTGTCTTTCAAACAGAAGTCTAGAGTATCGTCAGTCGATCTCGGGTACACTGGTACAGGTGAATTTGACATTTGGAGGAAAGGTACAACCTACTATTATTGCTGCTAACACGAAGGCATCTAGTGTATATGTTATAAAGCATCTACATTATAAATCATATAAGCAGTTACTATATAAATAATTTTATAGTGTAAAATATTTTTTAATACGAATTATGAAAAACTTTCTTGTATAAGTCCCCTACCAATATTATGTATCTCACTATATGAAACTAGTTTTTCCACGCAGTTTAACCCACGTGAAGGACATAAAACGACATAATTTCAAATATTAAAAGACCATGTTCATATGTAAAATGTCTTTTACTATGAAATTGCCATTCTGCAATACTGGGCATTTCAAATCAAGATAATTTTTGTTTCACTAAAAATTCTAATTTCAAATGAATGTTATTTTAAAAACATGAAATTCTTTTTTCGACATTAGTCTTTTTTTATTAGCGTTATGTTTTCATCGCATTTGAATCTTTTTCGTCATCATGGATACGTTAAAAATTCGGGTAATTATGGAATATCAATACCCTCGTGGCAACATCGTAGCACAAACGGCACGCAACATCAACGAGGTTTACGCAGCAAATACTACAAACGAACACACCACCTGTTATTGGTTTGATAAGCTCTCTGAATCTCGGGAAATAGCATACATTTTTAACAGACACAACAAAAACAAACATAAACATTAAAATGTGAAGGGAACTTGCAAACGTATTACCGTTATACCCGTACCGTACCCCCACTCGCTAACGCATTCCCAAGCAACTTCAGGGCAAAGCACGGCTTTTGGTTCTATAGTAATTGCTATATAAACATTTCGTAGTTATATTTCATTATAGAACATTTTGCCACAGGTTAGAAAAGGAGCGATCGTCTTCTCGAAAGCCCGGTAAAAAGCCAACGCGTGTGAGAGAGACGACAAAATCAACACCTTGCGTTCATTAATTTTGACAGTCAAGTGTATTTCGAATTGAAAGCAAACTGCTAAGTGTTGACGTTACATATTATATGCTACGAGGTCATGCCCTGCGGAGCGCGCAGGAAATTTGAAACAGTTTGAAACAGTTTACTAGTTATTTTATTAGTCGATATTATTGATTGAGCAGTTTTATAGCAAGCCCGGCTTCTGGCCTTCCATAGAGGCTTCGCCACTGACTATTAATATCTTTAGTATAATGTATTTTTGCAAAGTAACGCCTGATTCTATTAATTGGATTAACAAAGTTGTAAAATATAAATTTTTATAAGTATATAAGCTAATAAAATTCAATAGAAAATAAATCTCGATTACCTGTTTGTATCGGTGCCAGCTGGGCGAAAATGGAAATCACAATATGGTGAATTGAGACATGTCAAATCGATTCTTGCGGCCCGACGTGAACTCGGTTCATTCAAAGTGTGCAGTAAAACTCCACACAATGCTTCAGCCATACGTGGGGTGGCACATTCTGCTAACTGTCGGGTCACTGCGTTAACACCACCACATGAGATGAACAAGTCAGGATTTAATACACCTATAAAAATAAAACCCTGTAAGCATGTTTTTAAGAAATAAATGAGATTAAAAGTAATACTATTACAGTTCATTATAGTTTTTTTCTTTTTTGGGACAGTAAGAGAAAAAGAAATAGTTTGATACAGTGTTAATAATGTCTTCTTTCATGTCTTGTGACTAGACTTGATCATATTTATTAGTAAGTATGTTGATGGTAGACATGTGTCAATCGTGAATTATTTGTTCATTTGACCCATTAAAATTTTGATAATTACATTTTTTAACATTACATTTTTAACATTCCGGATCAAACGATTGACAGGATCTACCACCAAAGAACAATGTCCGGTGACCGACAAAATCGAGCGGGTCTCACAGATCACAAAGTACTGAAACTCGAAATGATCCATTTGAATTATTGACCCGAATGACCCGTTTCGTAAGACGATTCAATACTTGGATGATCGGGTCAGTAGAAATGAATGAATAACACATGCCTAGTTAATAAGCTGTTAACAGATATATGATAGCATAGAAGTAAAGTAAAAAATGATTCATGGCCCATTTCTAAATGTTCCACGGCACTTAACAGTAACTTCTGTGCATAATAAATCTAAGGTAAAAAAAAATGTTACAAAAAGTGCTTACAAATTTCTGCTAAAGTGGCAATAGCAGGTCTGGAGAGTCTGTCACCAGTTCCATCACCAGCACTACCTGCACGAGCGACTGCCGTTAGACATCGAAGAAAACCTTGATCAATAAAGGCTGCCCTATGACACTTTAATGGTTGCTCAATTGCACCCACTACAGCAATCACCCTTCGAACTACTCGCAGCGCCTGAGCTCTTTCTTCCTCATTCCTTAACATTAAGTCCATAGACCTACAAAAAACTCGTTGTAAATATATAATATAAAATTGCACAATTTAAGGAAACTCTAATTCAGGTCAAATTGTTTACGACAAGTTGTGTCATTTGAAGCTTGCGGGACGCGCGTCTCGAGCGGGGTGAGGAAACGGTTAGCGTTGTGCGGGAGGTGGGGGCTTGCTGTGTGCGTACGGCGCTGCAAGCGACCTAGTCGGCAGGAACTTTGGAGGGCTACAGCCGTGCCGGTTAGACGTCGGGCGTTACATAATAGTTTGCGTCGAATGTCGGCGGCCTCCATGTTGTTGTATTTTGTCGTTAATATACGTGACAACGAGGCTTTTTGATTTAGAATTATTGAATTAACTTAGATTAGTAATTTGCATCGACGAGTGAACCTGGGACCTTGAACCTTGACCAACCGTCCTTAAGTTGTGCAGCATGTCACTTGTTTTAATGTCGATTAACGTTGATTTGGTTGAATTTGAAGTTAAGTAAGTGTACAAATAGTTGATAAATTAACATAGTGAAAATAGCAGCAGAAGCTTTCAATTGATGAAGGGAGGGATCTCACATTTGGAGAGAAGCAGCGCCTTTGGATCGGCAATCCTGGATCAGCGGGGCTGTCCGGATACACTATACACTTTCCTACACTACACGCCCACTACCATTTACTTGCCCCTGACGCCACCTTGTGGTAGACCCTACACTTCTGGAATTCGGTAAGTTTTGTGTTTGCGTATCTAGCCATTATAATTTAATTATCCATAGGTCATTGGACCCTCCCCTCTGTTACCCGTCGAATTGGGTTACTGTGGGCCCTAGCTCAATCGACCTTTGTCGGGGTAACTCAGGGCCGTAACACAAATGCATGTGCCAAAATAATAAGAGATAAGTTGTGTGCATTAATTCTATTATTTTATGCATACAGCTTTAAAATAATAGAATGATAGTTTACAAATATAATATTAATTGTTTAAGGGTCAAAAAACATTACTTGGCTCTTAATGTATAATAATAAATAAATAAATAAAATGTATTTAAGTTAGTCGAACGAAACACTCACCAAAGTTATAAACTAACTTTGGTGAGTGTTTCGTTTACCAATAACAACGGAGATAATAATAATTATGATTGTTAAATAGAAATGTTTAAATAAATAAATAGATAAACTTTAATAAATGAATAGATAAGCTCGTGATTGTAATAATGTTTAGTAAATAATAAACTGACAAGGTGTATGGACATAGCTCGATCAGTATATAGTCTATATATCTCTCGAATCCATAATGCACCTACAACATCCTATTAGCAAGCTACACCTCCCAATTCAAAGGAAAAAAAATAGATATTTCATTAATTCCTAGCACATTGCAGGATACAACTTAATATGTGACAAGGAAATAAACAAATTGTCTTACTATATCAATGTGTCTAGACTATATCATGAACTAGACACTTACTACACTTACTTAAGGCCAAATACGAAGCGAATGATCTTGCTCGTTTCTTGGCGAACCGCGCGCTGTCTTTCGAACATCACGTGCGTTAGCCGTACGAGTGTGCTAGCTCGTTATGCAGAGTAATGAATAACACAGAGAGCATTGCTTACTTATTAATTAAATCTTTCTGATTTATAATATTAGTTCCTACAGATTACAAATTTTGTACTCTATTCATTACAAACATACAAAAATAATAATCTTTCCTCATTATAATATTAGTATAGATTGATTAAAACTACTTTTACGGATTTTATAGCGTTTATTTTACTATTATTTTTAATTCCCGACGTTTCGGGCGCTTTCCAGCACTCATGGTCACGGGGGGGGACTGAGATGACTGACGTCCCGATGTCATTGTTAAGCCCGGAGTACCTTCAGCTTTTTTTAATTATTGTTTATGGTCCGATCTATGCAAAATGAACTGACTATGTCCTGAGGTCTTGCAGTGGTATGCTTTGGTTTAGTTTTAATTTTATTGATTATAGGATCCCAAGCAGGTGGTAGTACCCAGCTGCCTTCTCTATTGAAATTAGGATATTTTTTAATTTCAATAGCCTCACGTCATCATCCTTGGTGGGAACCGGTGTTCTTTCGCGAGGATTTGTGGTCTATCAAATCTGATGTAATGGTTGGGGCCGTCTAGGATATGATCGCAAACTGCAGACTTTCCGAAACGTTGATGCTTCACATCAGCTATATGTTCTTTTACGCGGGTTCTAATTGATCTTTTTGTTTGTCCTATATAAGAGAGACCACATTCACAATCAAGCTTGTACACTCCTGCATCTTGTAGAGGAATATGACACTTGACTGATGGTAGGAACTGACTAATCTTCTTCGGCGGCTTGTAGAATGTTCTAATAGAAGCTCGCTTCAAGATGTAGCCAATCTTGTCTGTGACACCTCTAACATATGGTAGTACAGCAGGCACACGCTCGACTGTGGCCGGCTTCACTCGATCACTGTGACGTAGGCGCGGGACCCGAAGCTTGTTGTCGCGCAGAACTTGCTTGACGTGCTGAAGCTCGGCGGCCAGGTGCTTGCCGTCACAGATCCCTCGTGCTATCTGTAACAAAGATTTGCCGACGGTAGCTAAGTGTGAAGGATGGTAGTGAGATTCACCGTTTAAATATCGGTTTGTATGGGTCTTTTTCCTATACACAGTGTGTGTCACACCAATGGTATTGTTAGGATTTCGGATGAACTAACACATCTAGGAAAGGTAAGGAATTATTTGCCTCTAACTCCATAGTAAATTGAATTTTAGAGTTTATGGAATTAAGATGTTCTAAAAATGTAGTCAATTTGTCTGATGGTAAAATTGTGAAAGTATCGTCTACGTACCGCTTGTAGATCCTTGGTGTAACAGGTGCAGTAAGGAGGGCTTTCTCCTCAAAGTCTTCCATGAATATATCGGCGACAATGGGAGATACAGGTGAGCCCATCGCAACACCATCTACTTGCTTGTAAAACTCTTCCTTCCACAATAGATAGCCAGATCTAAGGCAATGTCTGAGTAATACTGCATATTCTGCTGGCATATTATTTTCCTCTAGTTTCCTAGTTATAATTGAGATGCAGTCTTCAACAGGTAGGCATGTAAATAGAGACTGAACATCAAAACTGACCATGGTTTCATTGTCAGTAAGACGTAGGTCTTTTATCTCACTGACAAAATGGTATGAATCCTTAGTGTGAGCTCTTGTGTGTCTTCTGAGTGGTGATAATATTTTAGCTAAGTATTGAGCCAATCTGTAAGCTGGCGAATCAATCTGACTCACTATTTAATTTAAGTTATTTAGTGTAAACTGAAGTTTGATACGTGTGTTTTGTAACACGTTACTAAACACACCCGTACCTACACAGGTAACGCGGACTAGAATTTATTGGATTTTCGGCATGAAGGCCTCGGCAAAGCATCGTCTAATGCAAGCGATCAAATGGTCTGTATGAAAAATTTTGAAGGAATTGATTTAATTATTGAATAGAGATGGTAGACCTTAGATTTATCAAAGGCTATTTACACAAAACTTGAACACTTTAGTGGAAAATGCTATATCTATCCTTAAATTGCCTGTTGTTGGGATGTAACAGTGGACGATAATATGCACAAGCTCTTGCTTCAACACTGGCGTTATAATAGCAGTCATCTATAATTATTACTTATTTATGCCTTAGCAGCTGCAAACGTACTCCAAGCGAAAAAAATAACGTCCTGCTATAATTATACATCGTTCACATAAAACGAAATAAAATGAACTTTTCAACAATTATTCTCACTCTTCCATCTCACCGTAAAAATCTACGTGAAAACTTTTTCGATATCGACGGCGTAAAGTTTACATAAGTTACGTCTCGAACGATCAAAATTGTCGCTCGCACTCGCAAAATACTTCAAACAACCAATCACGAGCGTTATCGTTCTCACTGTCGAATGTGAGTCAATGTTCGATGGTCGATATCGATTACGTAGTAAACTCGCACTCAGGAATTCTGTTTCAAATTATTGTCACTAGTTGGCGCTTTTTTTATTCCATACAAATCGTAGTTAACTTTATCGCTATCGAACGCGTAGAAAAACTCGCACTAGGCACACTGTACATTCTTTTCCGACTCGATCGTGATATTTACATTTTTAGAGTTTCTCACTTCATAACGCAGAAACGTTAATCATTTTTGCTAATCTAAATTATTAAAAATCTAGCCTATTAGGCAACCTCCAACAAAAAAGGACCGTAAAAGTATATAAAAATATAACCTCAAAGTGGAACGTACCACATTCGAGGAGCGTTCTTGAAATAAACTGTCTTTGTTTTACCACTTAAGTAATAATTATTTTCTTTTTCGCATGCAAACCCCTAAATTAACGATTTTCAATACAGACGTAACTAACTATAGTCACCTTACGCCACGCATCGAAGCGCCTGGTAATTTATGATGGCAAACTTTTATCTGGCAATATACAATATTACTAGACGTTTGTAATTTAAACGAATTATGTTAATTAAAAAAAATTGTATCGTAAAAGGTCGAAAATGAAGAAGACATGCACCTTCGGAATCACAATATGGTGGAGCCACGTGTTTAAGGCTGCCGAAAGTCTAGTTCCCCGGTCAAACCTCAAACCTATTACGCGAGATATTAACTAAAGTGGACTGTATATGCGATTGCTTCTACGCTTACGTAAAAGCGACTACTATAGCATGCGGTACAATGCACTCGCTCTTCCCTAAACTAAACTATTACTTGTCGAATCGATGAAAGGAATCCTGCTTGACTAGGAAAAAAACACAGATTGGAGCGGGTTAAACTATTAGCAAGCAGGTATAATTAAGGAATATTGACTCACCGGGGTTTCTTCTTCCTGTCGATCACTATGGCGGCGACTTCCGGAACACTCCGGAGAGGGGCGGTGCGCGACGATATCTCACACGAGGTGAGGCGGGTTCCTGGAGCTCGACTGCTTCCAGGCCAAAGCGGTTACCACTAGTGAGGTGTTTCCAAACGAGCGCG